GTGATGATGTCATCATCAAAATTTGATGTGGACAGTACTTACAGTGTATGTCTCGACTAATGAGGCTTCAGGGTTAAAATACTACAGTATTTCCCAGAACCCTGGAATTGGAAGGCAAGCCTTACCTGTACTCAGGAAGCTAACCTCCACTCCCTATAGTCAAGGGCACACCTACAACTATCATAATAATAATATTCTGTATAGCATGGTTATCTTATTTTTATTTATTTATTTATTCTTTCATTCATTCATTTTAAGTTCAAAGTTCAGCCATGACAAACTTACTAAACAATCAAATGGAAATAGATTAGGAAAAGACCAAATAGGTGCAGTTAACACAAAATTGGTCAACCCTTAACAAATGACAATAATAACATTAAACTCAATAAACACAGCATTATTATTATTTGGTCTTTATACTTGGTTACCTCTTCAGTAAAATGTTCTCCCAGAGGGCCCATTATGCATACAACATTAAAATCACATGAATAACAACATAAAATTTCTGTCTCTTATACACATCTAGATGTGTATAAGAATATCATACATTAGTGGAGTTTTTTTAATGCATTAATCATAGCTTAAGGTAGTTAGGGACGTCCTGGGTACGACATTAAACTCCATCCGGTCGAAGCGTTGGCGACTAAACTGACAACCCTCTCAAATGTCTTAGTGGCTGCTGAGGGGAGGGTGTTTATGGTCACCCAGCAGCAAGAAAAACCAATAGCTGAACAAAAGGCGGATGGGCTCCTCGGAGTCAACGGCCAACCATTAATTACAGTAGTTTAAGGAATAGGAGTAGTTTAGTCTCATTGTTATTGTTATTATGATTATTTTTATTTTATTTTATTGTTACTATTTTATTGTTATTTGCTTTTTCTCAGTTGGCCTATATTATTTCTCTGTAAAGCGCATAGGGGCAATGTGCAATATGCGCTATATAAATACAACATTATTATTATTAAACCGAAATAGGGCTGTAATAATTTCCTCTAGTGTATAGATAAGCATTATTGGACGGGTGTCTGCTCTCTCTTTCCACAGATGCAGTGTATAGGTGTATTTCTGATAGAAACACTCATATTTTTGATATAAGCTATCTTGGTTTTTTTATTTAGTGATCACTGTGTTATTGATTGCAAACTTAATGTAAACCAAACTGTCAAAGAAGAGAATGTACCACCTGTACAGTGCATCTGTACAGGTGGCAGTTGTTACTCCGATTTTAAAAAATCCATCACTTGACCATAATAAACTCCCAAATTTCAGACCTATCTCTAACTTACCTTTTCAAGCCAAACTCATTGAGAGGGTGGTGTCTTCCCAGATAATGTCCTACTTTGTTAATTGTAATCTCTTGGACCCTTTTCAATCTGCCTATAAAGTGGATCATTGCACTGAGACTGCCCTTATCAGAATACTCAATTACATCATAGTTGCCATGGATCAAAAGCAAGCAGTTGCTCTTGTGATGCTTGAATTATTGGCTGCTTTTGACACTGTTGATCACCAAATACTTATTGATCGTCTTCATTTTGGCTTTGGCATTTCCAATCTTGCTTTAAACTATTTCATTTCATACTTCAATAACCGCTCTCAATTCATTGAAATTAGCAGTGTAAGGTCCACTCCTAAAGTCACTGAATGTGGTGTTCCCCAAGGATCCATTCTTGGTCCTATTTTTTTTCTCTTTACATTAAACCACTGGCCCAAATAAAAAAAAACATAACATTTTCTACCATTTCTACACTGACGATATTCAACTTTGCATTTCATTTCATCCATCAAACTTTTACTTCGCTATTCAACGTCTTGAAAATTGTCTTAAAGATATCCAATCTTGGCTCTCAAACAATCTTCTAAAACTTAACGAAAACAAATCTGAGTTCATTATTTTCTGCACTAATCACATCCGTAGTAAAATTACTCCTCTTCCACTCACCATTGGTTCATCATTAATTCATCCCACTCACCACATTTCTAACCTCAGAGTTAAACTGGATGAATCTCTTAACATGCACAAACATATCAGCTATATAACTAAATCGGTCAATTTTTATTTTCGTAATGTAACTCATTCGATGCTTTCTTTCTCGACGCACTCCTTCTTCCATTTTTCATGCTCTTGTCTCATCCCGTCTTGATTACTGCAATTCTCTTCTTTACGCACTTCCTAAATCTCAAATTTACAGACTCCAGAGGCTTCAAAACTCCGCTGCTCAAATTATAACATTCACAAAACGTTGATCTCACATCACCCCTGTTCTCCGAGAACTCCATTGGCTTCCCATTGATTCCTGCATTAAGTTCAAGATCTTGCTACTTACTTTTAAAGCACTTCTATTTAAGCAACCTATCTATATACATCAGCTTACCCACATTTATGTTCCTGGAGGCACCCTAAGATCATCTGATAGTTTTTTGCTCTCCGTTCCCCACACATCCTTAAACACTATTGGCCATAAATCTTTTTTCTTTGCCGCACCTACAATTTGGAATTCAAAATCCTGCACACATTAAAAACTGTTCTTCTGTTGCTTCATTTTAAAAATTACTCAAAACTCACCTCTTCTGTCATTAAAGTGCAAAGCGCCTTTGATGATGCACCTCGGTCGTTTAATTGACGTTTTATAAATTCTTTTATTATTATTATTATTATATTATTATTAAAATACACTAACCTAGAATTCATTGTGGTACGTGATATCTCGATTTGGCTATTTGTACGCAAACCAAAAAAGATCAAGCAAACCATGCACTAATGAAAAATGAGTGCACTGTTGGGGATAGGAAAATAACATTGAGAGTTACAGTGATGATGTCATCATCAAAATTTGATGTGGACAGTACTTACAGTGTATGTCTCGACTAATGAGGCTTCAGGGTTAAAATACTACAGTATTTCCCAGAACCCTGGAATTGGAAGGCAAGCCTTACCTGTACTCAGGAAGCCAACCTCCACTCCCTATATTAAAAAGGGCACACCTACAACTATCATCATAATAATATTCTGTATAGCATGGTTATCTTATTTTATTTATTTATTCATTCATGTTAAGTTCAAAGGTAAGCCATGACAAACAAAAGTACTAAACAATCAAATGGAAATAGATTAGGAAAAGACCAAATAGGTGCAGTTAACACAAAATTGGTCAACCCTTAACAAATGACAATAATAACATTAAACTCAATAAACACAACAGTATTATTATTTGTTCTTTATACTTGGTTACCTCTTCAGTAAAATGTTCTCCCAGAGGGCCCATTATGCATACAACATTAAAATCACATGAATTACAACATAAAATTTAAAAAACATTAAAATATAAAAATGATGAAAAAGAATTACCTACTGTACCACCAGCATTCCAAATTTTAGTTTCCCTGAAGAAGTAAATCATGCAATATATAAATTACATACAGTAGCTAAACATTCAAGTGAGTTCATATAGGATTTTTACTACAACTTAAACAAACTTCACTTGCAAGGTGATATTGAAATAGACCTATACAGTAGGGAGAGGAGGGGTCCCAAATCACCATCTCTGGCTCTGATGTTAACTCTGCTAAAACAGTATAAAATATTGTTCATATTGCAGTATTTATCCTGGGAAAACATACCAGGTACCTATGTATTTTCACTATGTAAGATCAATGAATGTCTAGACACATGGCACAAATTGCACTGTAAATCTCCCTATCAAAGTGAACTTGAATGCCAATAATTTCACACTTGTCAACAAAAGTTGGAACAGACCATTTGCGTTAGAGTATGAGGTCAGGGTTTTGTCAACACAGCGGTGTATTATCTACAAAAGAACTAAACTGTGATACTAAAAACCACTTCGTGGCACCACAGTTGGCGTGGCACTACAGTTGGATGCCATTGCCTTTATGTAGCAACAATATGTCTATCAACCCTGGTGTTAATAATGGAGACTTAAGCTATCTATGCCTGGTAAGAATGTTTAATACCATCATGGAGGTATACCTCCATGATACCATAGTATTCAATTTAAACAAAATTTGATTTTTTCTTTTATAACATATTTTGATTTATAATTACAGATACTTTTTGTTATTTTGGAGTTGAATAACTCAGTGGTTAAGATGCTTGCCTTCTGATCCCAGGGTACTGGGTTCAATTCCTGTCATAGCAGGACTTTTTCTGACGATCAAAACAAATTCCACCCCCTAAGCCTCATAAAGAGACTTGGTTTATATAGCATCATTCTCATCCTGTATGTGGCGAGTGTACTTGCTGTTGGATGTGAAAGAAATTAAAATATATATATATAATACTTGTAATTTTACATAGCCTTTGCATATTGTAAATAAATGTGTGCATAAATTATTAAATAGGTAGGCCTAGTTAAATTGATTATTAAATAAAACAATATTTTCCCTATAAAATAACTAGAGTATCATAGATCTTTTAAAATCAAGAGCAGTTGAGTAGTTAACAAGAGTGGGGTGCAAGTCCATTAGCCTCATGTCATCTGGTAATACACTACTAAACATTTGCACTCCAGTATTGAAGAATAATGAGATGGGGCACCTCTTTCTGTCTGCGTCCCACTTTTTATCATGTCCCCACCAGCCTTCTCCCATCATGTAAAATCCTGTATACACTACTGCTGTGATGTTTTTATTATTGGTATTATTATTTGACCTATGTTGATTTCTTTGTAGCATGGCAGTATCCTCACATTAATTTGTCAATGAGGTAACAAGCTGAAAAGCATTTCAATAGCATAATTGTATCGTAAAATCACTCTTATTTGGTTTTGCTCTGTGCTTGTTCGATTGTGCATGAAAAAAAGTGTCTTGGAAATTTTATTCAGGCCTTCCCAATTACCCTCATTATTCTTGCTAGGGAATCTTCCATTTCCTCACACGATACCATCATTTGAGAAAATAATGGAACATCCCAGTTGTATGTAGGTTGGCATATGAGGTGTCTGATAGAATAGCGTGCTAGTAAATAGCATTTCCTACTGAAGATACAGCAGATACAATAGGAAGTTACAATACCGAGGTACTATGCCAGTACATATGTGTCCACCCCATTGCAACGATGCTACTGACCTCCTAAATGTACGTATTTTTTTTTGTCAGTATTTTCGGTAAAAGGTACAGTATCTCATTTTGGTTCATCTCCTGGTCTCCAAGAAATTCTCAATTTCTGTCAAAATTGTAATTTCTTCTGGATTTCTTCAGGATTAAAATAAAAGTCAAAATTAGGGCTTACTATAGGCTATGCTACATTATCCTATTTTATTGTATTAAATATAACATTTATTGATTTTTCTGTATAGCAATAATATATTAACAGTGACCCAAGTCTACTGAAGCCTTTTTGTTTTCATAGTAAACATTGCGCTAAATATGTACACCAGTTTTATCTAGTACACACCTTGCAAACCTGTCTGACCTGCACAACATATTTTCCAGGAATTTGACTTCCACAACTTGGGACCCATCCCTGTACTTAGATGATTTTGAATCATGTTTGCTCAAGTTTGTTAGGACCTATAGATCTATTTTCATTTTTTATTTATTCTTAGTTGAGTGAAAACATATGACAATATTTCCATGCTTTGTTACTCACTTTCTTTTTTTTATGGGTATGCATTTATTCTTGAAAAAAATGTTTTAATAACCTTATTTTTTTATCAGGGGTATATGGCAAATTTTGATTAAAAGTTATTACGGTAACACCCACATATATTTATATGACAAGGCCATAAAATAATTTTAAAATATCGAAGTCAGAACTAGTGTAACAGTAAAGTGTTGTCTAAAATGGAATATGTTTCCAGAGTAAACCATAACTTGAGTGTACAAATATACAATACATGGCAACCCTCTAAAGGTAGGCCTAGCCTAGGGTATAGCAAAAGCACTAAACACCCCTGCAAGCCCGTAGCCAGGGGGTTTCGAAAGAATCCCCCTTTTCCAGAATGCCTTTTAAAATTATTATTAAGAAGTACCATTTGAATGGAAGTTGTCAAAATTAATTTCAAATATTTGAAATTTGGCATTTTTATTGCCATTTCTAGACATCTGACGTGTAATATCTTTAAAATTTACCAAAGCTATGGTGTGACTGAGGCAAGAATGTCACCAGAATTTGCCCCGGGGGGGAGGTCAGATTTCCCCGACGAAAGCAAAGTGGGCGTGGTAGAGCTTCGATTAAAAGGTTTCGAAAATGGCCCCCCTGGGGCTCTGCTCCCCCTGCTAGCGCCACCCCTTGACTAAGGTGGGTAAACACTTAAAATGCCCTTTTTTGAAAAATAAGAACCCTTTTTAAAAATCCTACCTACAGGCTTACCCTGGCATAAACATTTCAGGTGCACTTTATTTCATGTATGTGTCTTTTCAATTCTAAGTTGCAATTTATTTTCGCTGTTTCTTTTGATTTGAAATAAATAAATATTTCAGTATCTTGTTTTTTTCAGGGTGGTCTCAAACGAAGTGACAGCCAAATAGAATTTCAGTTGCTTGCAAAGAGGGAAGCAGAGGGTGCCCTCGTACATGAGCTTGAAAAACTTAAAGCAACAGCGAAGAATGATCAACAAAGGGCGGTAAGTTGACATTAAAATTAAGTATAATTTTAATGTTAAGTAAAAGTATTATGAGCTGGTGCCGCCATATGGTAGGTCCACCCAACAATTTTATTGGGCAGGACAACCTGAAGTTCAAAGGAGAGACCCTTTAAATACCCAATTTCTGTATACAGTAGTAATACCAGCGTGAAGTAGTTGTGTCATTCATTTAGGATATTATGAAAAGACAGAGTTGTGAACATAAGATACATTACATACATTTTGCCTATGTAAAGTAAAAGGGAAAATTCATTTTTGTGGATTACAGAAGGAAAATTTTTTTTTTTTTTTGCATTCTTGTAAATGTGTCTATCAATAAAAGTAAAGAGAAAAGGGTAATGAAGCATGGGACAGTATAAACATACAGTAGTGAAAATACCATTAAAAAATAGTGTAAAAAAATTGAAATAAAATACTATAAGTCATACAAGACTTTAGAAAATGGGATCTGAATTTATTGCTGTGTTAGTTGCATCCTTGATTGTTCCATCACTTGAAATTTTTCATAAAATCCATTGATTCATACTAACAAGCTGTGTCATTATATTGTAAATGATACATTATTTTGTGTATGCTACATAGTAGTTTAGATAGCCATAAACTTAAACTCAATGCTGGGAAAACAAGAATATGTTGTTTGGAAGCTTTAATAATTTGAGTTTATAGCTCATCAATATAGTCACTGAAAAGATTAACATAATTATACTTTACATTATTATTTTCATGATTGGCTTACTATCCAAAAAAACGATCTATTTTATATGTTTAAAACATAAAGCTGCCCTAAAAAAATCCAAGGTTTGATGCGAAAGAAATTTTAATTTCAAAAGTCTATAATTAAAATATAATATTAATAATTTAATATAATAATGTACATAAAATTCAAAATACTAATTTAAGTGAGATTCAACAGGTGGTGAAACCTAATTCTCTATTACGTGGTAAAACAAACATAAACAAACAATTTTGATGATCAGATTATCTGGCAGTGGCAACTTAAAATTGTGCTATCTAAAAAATGATATATTTTATATGATTAAAAAATAGATGGATGATGTAAGCAAATTATAATTTCAGAAAATGTTTTGCATAAATTTTAATGATTGCCTGACATGAGATTTTGTTGAGCTTTATTGTTTATTCCACTGCCAAAACAAAAAAATATATAGTGTACTAATTATCTTTTCTGTTCTGTAATCTTTTTGCATACAGTGTTACAGAAATATAAACTGCTGTACTGCACTTTATACTATACTGTATATCATGTCATTTTAACTATTTTTTCTTGAATTTGTTCTAGGAACTTGAAAAGGACTTCCAAGGGTTTCAACATCTCTTCCATAGATTCCTTCAAGATAAAGGACCTTCAATTTACTGGGACAAAATTCGAACTTTACCAAAAGATGCTGTAAGTTTTCAAATGTCACTTTTAATATTTATGATGTACGCTGAAGTATAGGATGGTTTCAGGCACATACACATCAAAAGAGTCATTTTGGCTCTGAGAAGCAGCTTTCCATCTGGTCCCCCAATCTTCAAATTGGAGCCTGTTTTGGTCTTTAATCTAAAAACATCCTAATTTTGTAAGGCTAAATAAAAAAAATAGTTAAATATTTTGAAATTACTCTTAGTTTTTAATAATATTATGCTATTTTAGCAACTAAGAAGAATTAAAAGGTTAGAGAAAAAACATGAAACCCTAATTTTTACTTTTATAAATAGAAATGTTAAAAATTGAGGCAGCCGCATAAATGAAATCCGGCAGGTATATAGGAATCTGAATTTTTTTTAGTGATTTAAAAGTGCATTCACACGTAATCCAATTTTTTCAGATCAGAAAGCCTACCAAACTGATTGGAAAATCGACTTCGTATGTAAGAATAGAAAGGCTTTGGTCAACTCATGCTCCAAATTTTTTGTTCGGATCCAATGTCAATATAGCTTTAGGTGCATGTGTGAGATTTAAATAATTTAATGCTCCATCACAGTTCAAACATTTTTTACAAAACAGTAATAATATATTAAAGTGGTCTTTTGACCTACATTTTGTTGGTTTTACAGCTGGTATACCTCAGACTGCATAAATCATTGCCTTCTAAATGAACCTGACCCAGTATTACACTATGGGTGTGGTTGTTACAGTGTAAACATATGTTTAAGCAGTTCGTTCACATCTATTCAATTATGGGTTCGGGGAAGCATGGCTTAACCAAGGTGTTGGTGATGATATTTGTTTTTTAAATCTTGTTAAACAACGTTCTTTAGATATTGACCTACAAGAATGGGGGTCATATGTTAACGAGTCAAATAGGCTAAAAAGTTACTGTTTATTCAAATATTGTATTGCTTTTGAAAACTACTTTTCTTCTAATTTAAATCCATATTTCAAAAAGATCTTAAAAATCGAGGAAGGTAGAAATTTAAATATTAACTTTGAAGATAGAATTTTGCTTTTGTAAGGGGGGATATTGAAGATGAATTACATTTTCTTCTCAAATGTAAATTATACAGTGATTTAAGAGAAAAATACATCCCACGATATTATGTTCGTTCCCCTACACAATATAACTTTATTTCCTTAATGAGTTCGCACAGTCCACTAGTAATACAAAAAATAAGCATCTATTTACATCATGCATTTAGGAGGAGAACGGAGATAGATAATCAATCTTTTACAATTAACCATTTAATATTCCCAACATTGTTCGCTATTACATTTGATTCTTTATGTATACAAGGGGCCAATGTCCTAAAGTTAGTTAATGAATAAATTGATTGGTTGATTGGATGTTAAAAACTCCTCTTGATCATAATAAAGATGGCTTAGAAAACAATCGTTTTAAGTGGCCACCATTAATAACAAGTAGGTTAGTTCAGATGTGACATAGATAGCCTGGTATATTTGAGTGTACCTGTAAATATACACAATTCCCCATTAATAGGCATTTGTTGCTTGAATGTGTACAGACCCTGCAAAATCTCAAATTAATACTCTAATGGAAAAATGACATTTTGAGTAGTCTTTGAAAGTCTCTTGTTACTGGAACATACCTGTATAATGATAAAGGGTGTCTCTAGTTAATTGGTATGATCATGGAGGTATTCTTCATGCTATGATGCAGGAAATTTATGATGTGGAGGTTTTGCAGTGAAATATAATTTTACTATCTTTATGTGTACCTAAATTGTCAATCATATAATAATTATATTGATATACATTTAGACAGTGTCACACAGTAGACTTCTGTTGCTCAAACCTGACCAACCTAAAATATTGGTCTCATCTGATGTGGAAAAATAAATTAAATTTAAAAATGATCATAATTGAAATAAAATAGAAAGAATATTATTAAATATGATATTGTAAAATACCTAGTATTACGTGATATACATATTAGGCCTACCATTACCATAAATAAAATTCAGAATACTAATATAAGTGAGATCCAACAGATGGTGAAACTAATCCTCTATCACATGGTAAAAACAAACATAAACAGGATTTTTTTTGTAGAAAGTAATTATTATATTACAGTATAATTTTTTTAATGAGTGCCTTTGTAAAATTAGCATACAGTAGTAGTAGTTAAAGCACTTATCATGACACGTCTTCAGTAACAGATACCGCTATGTTGTTGTTTGCATGGATCATTACCCAAAATGATTGCCGTCATCCAGTCAATTAAATCTGTTGTCCAGGACAATTGATTCTCATTACCTCATGGTTCGGTAATTTAGGGTGTAAAATATTTGGCTGTTTACTGTAAGATTTGTTCTTTAATTTTGTTGGTATATTGTTTCATAATGGGACTTAAAAAAAATAAACATGTGAGAGGGGAATCATTAATTTAATGATCTGTAGAAAGATAGAAAGAACCTCACTTTCACCTGTGGAAGAAATAAATGCCATAATTCCATCATTCCATCTGGGGATTAAATTGAAATAATATAATAATTTAATATTAATTTATATTGAGCAAATTCCATTAAAAATACAGTATATGCGCATTACAATAAAATAGACAATACAAATTTACAATGTAGGCCCTAAAAAAGATTTAAAATTATGGGAAGCTAAAATTCTAACAACATATTGAAATTCAATCATATATCAAATTTGATACTCGCGTTAAATTTCACTTTAATCAAATCGAGGGGACCTCATGATCAGCAACGGTGGTTAAAATAATCCGGGGCTCACAACCTGCCATTTCCATTATTAAATGGATATTATACAAGACACAAGCTGATTTTACTCCAATAGGCATTCACACATTTGATTTAGCAGGGGACATACATGTGCTAAAATGTCAATAGCATTAATACATTAACATTGTTTTGTGTGTGATTCAGGTATTAGGTAGTAGTATTTTCAGTGTTCTTTTTAATAATACCTCCCTCTGATTATCTGATTTAGTTTCTTTTTTATGCTAAGGTAAGCAACTAATTGGTTCAACAAAACAGATAATTTACATATTGTTTTCCACTTTCCTTTCATCTTGCATATTTAAAATCCTGGACCAACAGTTTTCATTTTAAATATCCTATAACCTCTTACCTTGAGTGGCTCTTTGCCTTGATGAGGGTGACTGAACATTAATTAGTGATTTTGCTTTCTTTTTACTTTCAGATAATTCCATACAATAACATACAAGGGGAGTGTTTAGATGACAATGCAAGGGTGAAGAAGTTACTGGATAAGCTTGTGGTGGTGAAACTGAATGGGGGTCTTGGTACAAGCATGGGGTGTAAGGGACCCAAGAGTGTGATCAGTGTCTGTAATGAACTCACGTTCCTTGATTTGACAGTACAACAGATTGAGGTAAATTTACCAAACATTATAGAGCCTTGTCCACACTATAAAATGTATTTGACAAGAACATGTGACATGCCTAAATATGGTCATCACATCATCACCATATAGAGGTACATAATTACTATATATGGGCATACAACAGTTTTTTTGTCAAAGAAGATTTGATAATCAAGACAGAACTTTAGAATTATGCATTTATATTCCACTTTTATTATTTTAATTTTTTCATCTGAATTATCCTTTAAAGCTCTGTCCACACTGTAGTATCACATTTTATGTGACAAATGTGTGTGATGTGCCCATATATGGGCATGATGATGTCATCAGTGGTGGCTCTAGGATATAATTTATGAGGTGGGGCCAAGATGTCCGACTTGGTGGGCTAAGTATTTATGGGTGTAACTATAGCACGCAGCGTTATCTGAGGGCCGAAGGCCCAAGGCAGGGGTGGATGTGAGAGGGTGGTGTCACCTCTTCCCAAAACGAAAAATTTTCTTTAAAAATTGGGACTTCTAGATGGCTGTCAATGGTTGATTAACCATTGTTATGTTCTGCTTGACTGATCAGAGCCAGACAAACGATTACTGAGACAGATTTGGCTTGGCGTAGGCAGTACAGTACTGGGTTGGGAAAAACTAGGCCTATTTTTTTAATTATTTTGCTTTGGCCAATGAAGGGAGCTTGACCAGACTGATGGGGGCTTAAGCCCTCCTGCCCCTGCTGGTGCTGCCCCTGAATGTCATAGTATACCCAAATATAGGCATTACTTATTTCCAAATAAAATTTGAGAATGTTGACATATCTTTTAAATTGTGTATTCAAGTCTGTATTTGGCTTTGTGTAATATAGAAATTAAACAAGTATCTGTCATTAGAAGGCCAGCATCCTAAAACTACCACCAGTTTACAGATCTGCTTTATTATGATAATTATTGTTAACTATTATTGAAAATTCTCTACGTAAGAATATTTATATTACTCAGAACTCTTTTAATTTTTTTTAAATTGTCAATAGTAAACATTATCACTGTCCTACTTTGTAGGTGACAATCCCTTTCACAAGACAAACATACACACATGATGCTTTACACAGACTAAATCTCAATATGAGATTTAGGGAGTGGAGTTGTTTTGGTCATGAGAAAAAAATCATGCAACTGACAGGAATTGAACCCATGACTCTGGTATTGGAAGGCAAGCATCTTAACCACCAAGCTATTCAACTCCACTCCATTGTTCTGTCCTCACTATTAATTTTTATGTGACAAAAAATGTGATATTGCCATATTTGGGTGTAATAATATAACATTAATTCCTGCTTGAGAATATGAGCTCTGTAATGCTTGTTTTTCAATTTGCAGCACCTTAACAAGAAGTATGACTGTGATGTCCCTTTGGTTCTTATGAATTCTTTTAATACTGATGAAGATACCAAAAAAGTGCTACGTAAATACACCTCCTGTCAAGTCAACATATACACTTTTATGCAGAGCAAGTAAGTTCTGTTTTGATAATTGCTTCATAACCGCAAGGGAAAGGCGCAATATAAATACCCAATACCAGTACCAATACCAGATTATAAGTCAATTGTGACATCGTCACTGTAGTTCCCAATGTTTTCATTAGTGCACAGTTTGCTTGTAAGTTCTATTTTCATAATTGTTGTTGTTATGATAATATGCTACAGTTTATATGTACCAGCCTGTCAAATTTCGCACTTCTACCAAAAAGTGTTTCTTTGTGGCAGTAGAGTAGCACGTTGCTACATGATGCACACATGATGTTACATGATGCACACATGATGTTACATGATGCACACATGATGTTTAGTTGAAATTGTCATAATTTAAGGGGTGACCGTTTCAAAGCTCCTGCTTCCTGCAGCATCCTTTTTCCACATCATTGTAATTTTCATTTAAAATGTTTTTATTACTTTTACTTGATATTGTTCTGTATTTATTATGTTATGAAATTGTGGAAATAAATAAATTTTGATTTGATTTGATGATGTCACAGGAAACAGTGTTCTCACTAATTCACTACCTTTTAGTCTTTGAAACTTATCTAAAGCCAAACATTGAAATTCATTTAGCCGAACATTGAAAATTGATGGGCTAAAACTAAAGAGAGTAAACCATTGTAAATACTTGGAAATCAAAATTAATGAAATACATGTGTCAAATTAATCATGCAAAGATGAAAGTACTTCCTGGTTTATATCTACTTGAGAAAATGTAACAATCTGTTCTCTCATTATATCCAATATTCAACCAATTAGATATAACTCACTCACTCAATTAAGAAGATCAGACTGTTAAGTTCAGAGAAATTAAGAAAACTCTTAATGATCAACAACACATGAAGCAATAATGGTGTATAAAATGCTACCTAATGAAAATGAAATATTTCTTAAGAAGAGATTTTATAAACATAAACTAGCCTATGATGAATGTTATATGGTTGTGGTATAAGTTAGTTTATGATCAAATTATAGCAGAGAAAAAATAAATCAAATGATTATTTAGTCAAGATGTTAATGGCATTTCTTCTCTCCTCAAAAATGTTAGGTATCCACGCATCAAGAAAGAATCCTTACTACCTGTAGCCAATGATGTAGATTGTACGGAAGCAGGCATTGAAAAGTACGTATTTGATAATATGCATAAAATTGTATGTTTCAGGAGTTGGTGGTTTAAATGCTAGCCTTTCAATCTCAAGTTCCTGGGTTCAGTTTTTCTCAAAAAACAACTCCACCCCCAGTCCTCATAATGAGACTTTTTGAAAGCATCAAATAAATGCATGTTGGTTGTTCAAGGCGTTTTCACTATTTCCTTTCAGTCCTTCATTTTAATCCACTGTCTTCAGCAAGCATCCTAAACTCATTGCAAACAATAAAAGCTAAAACGTGGATAGTTCTCTTGAGACTGTTTTAAAAATTATAGCATTGTGAATGTTAGGACTGGCGTTTTTCACTATTTGCTGGCACTGACAGTGTATATTCTGCAATTGCAATCAGTCTTTATTTTGAATCCACTGTGTCTTGTCTTCAGTGAGCTTCCTAAGCTCCTTCAGTTTTTTTTAAATAGATTTCTATGTTCTCATTCCTGCATCTTTAAGGTCAGACCATAACACACCTAGCAAGCTTTGCGAACTTAGAACTTGTTGGCTCCTGTAATTTCTTATACCCTCTGAGCAGGTGTGTCTGTAGGCATCCATCGCACATGACCGAAAACGACCATCTTTGTGCAGTGCTATCTTTATTTATAACTTTTTTTCACCACATACACTTGTCCAAGAAATCTCTCACAAAACTCTTTTAAAAACAATATCGCTGCAAATATTGGACTGGGGTTTTTTTGCGATAGGGGAAATCTGGACACTTGCATGATCTTGTGTAATTTTAAATTTACTAAGGTGTTGTGATAATTTTTTTGTTTTTCTTTTCAGTTGGTATCCTCCTGGTCACGGCGATGTCTATAACTCCTTCTATAATTCAGGGTTACTCGATGGATTTATTGAAAAGGGGAAAGAATTTATGTTCATGTCAAATATTGACAATCTTGGTGCAACTGTTGATATCAGTGAGTTTGATTGATAAATATAATATAAATAGATTCTGTGTCTGTCAATCACTTTTATGTTTTGATGCCTAACTCTTGGAAGTTTATTTCATTTTTAAATAATTTATTCGACTTTCTAAAATGATCAATTTAATTTGAATTTGAATTTTGAAGGTTTTCAAGAGTTCATCACAAGTTTTATAGCCTGTGACACCTTCAAAATCAGCATTCAAAACTTTTTTTTTTTTTTAACTATACCTATATTAAAGACACACACAGTACCTTTGATACCTGTTTTTACTTAATGGCACAGAAAAATTCTTGTGCAACAAATCAATGATTTTTAATAATTAATTAATTAATAATTATTACTGTTCAATAATTATCAATATAGTAAATTTTTTTGGTTAATGTATTTTTGTGTCTTTTCATGCATTTTTATGTTATAGCATTTTTGTTATGAATTTGATGTAATGCAGTTATTTGCTGCCAATAAATGAATTGAAATTGAATTAAACAAAATTGTTTATAAAATAATATTGTTAAGCTCTCTAAAGAAAACTATATAAATTTATCTCAATGAGTATGATAATATCTGGTAAGGCAAAAACATCATTTCTATTAACCTCCTGATGCAAAACACCATCAAAATGAACAAATTTCCTTTCATACTTTTGTAGATATATTACAGCATGTTTTAGGTAAGAGAGATTGCGCAGAATTTGTGATGGAAGTAACAGACAAGACAAGAGCAGACGTAAAGGTACGTAGGGGTGTGGCGCAGCGTCAACAGGGTATGTAGGGGTGTGGCGCAGCGTGAACGGTTTGGTTTCCCAACCTCGAGGTTGCAATCCCTCGCTTTGCATTTCGCTTGTGTAAATGGGTACCTGGTGGGGTTGCCTGTTCACTGAAGCATGTGGACCCAATGACCAGGGGAAAACTTACAGCACTTCATATCTGTAAAAAAAGGTGCTATATATATATATGACCAAATTAGATTAGAAAAGTAGGCAATAGTGGCTGGTAATTGAATTTTTTATATTTTGTTTTGGAATGCACTAAGGACAACCTATAAATGTCTGAAGATTTATCTCTAGTGGGGTTGTTCTAGTTGTGTGTCTGGCGGTACGAAAGAGCCAATCCCCTGCTCATTTCTTACGAGTGCACTGCATTCTTAATAAAGATATATACGTATGTTTGTGATGAAGCTAGCTCAAGTTTGTCTCAAGAAAGTTTGTTAGTCTAAAAAGGTGTACTTATTGCATTTGTATTTCATGCTATTGACTAATACACCTCCAGCTTTCATTATGTGTTTTTTGAATTGCTTTTGCAGGGTGGTACATTGGTTCACTATGAAAATAAACTGAGACTGTTGGAAATTGCACAAGTTCCAAAAGAACATGTAAGTACAATCAAAGAGTATAAAACTGCTAGAGGTGCGACTGCCCTGGTTTCACTGGAACGCAATCCTATTTCAAAAAGTGCTTCCACAATGGGGCGTGGCCTTAAAAGACGTTTGATGATGGAACGTGTGCTGCGTGCATGTTTGAGTTTCGAACTCTATTCAAATTCGAATAGGGCCCCCTATTTCGTGGCAGTAATTTTTTAACGTTCCATTGCCTGCACACAAAATCATGGCAGTCGGACCTCTTGCAGTTTTATACTCTTTGGTACAATGAAGAGTTTTAAGCACAGATTTAATGTAACAGTAGAGGTCAATGACCTGTATGTCATTCCAAAGATAAGATGCAGCAGATGTAAATGTTCTTTGTATTATTCTCATTCTTCGGTAAGTCTTTTACCAAGTTTTCATTGTATCTCAGGTTGATGAGTTCAAGTCCATTACAAAGTTCAAGTGAGTTGAGCACATTTTTTTAAGGTTTCTATATTATTAATTGTTGATAATGTGAGTTGATTTGGTTTATATTGGGTGCGCTAATTGGCCAAAAATAAAATTTTATTTTTATTCGAAATCATCAATATTTGCAGTCGGTGGATTCACTAAACAAGTTATAAAAAAAGTAATTGTCTAAACGTTATTCAAACTAGCATTTTACAAAATTTCTCACAATATTTAATTTTGGATAATTAATTATTCATAATTTTAATTGCTAATTTATATAACACGATTGTCTTATTTCTGGGATTAAGCTAAAATTCTGTTTTATGATCATTATTTGTTTAATTATTATTTTATTATTAATATTATTGTTATTTTTAATGTTATATTTCTTAGTTAAAATATTTTTTAGTTATATTTTAGCCTAAAGCAGACAGTATTAGTGTAAAGTATTATTGTTATTTTCAGAATATTTAATACTAACAATTTGTGGATTAGTTTACGAGCCATCAAACGTGTCGTCGAAGCCAAAGATCTGAATATGGAAATAATTGTCAACAACAAGGTAAATGTCAATTTACTGTTGTTGTTATTAATTACTGTTAGAATTGTTATACAGCTTTAACCAGACAAATCATTTTTGTTTTGGTTTTGATCATTTGCAGACAATGGATAATGGCCAAGGTGTTATTCAACTGGAGACTGCAGTAGGTGCAGCAATTTGCAGTTTTAATGGTTCTCACGGTAAGCCAAAACATTTCGCAATTAAGGTAACCATATTATTAAGTTGTAGATTAGGTAAGTTAACAAATTCAACATCTGGATATGGCCTCACAAAGAAAATTAAATTACAAACATACGAATTATTTTATAATCAATATAAATGCCAAAATTTGGTAAACAAATTCTGGCATACATAACATTGTTTGTTGTGCTTAAAATAAAGGCAGCAGTAAAAATAGCTTGGTGTTTCAATATAGACCAACATTCTATGGAGGTCCAACATGCAAATTGTGGTGACAGGATTGATATACTGTACCATCCGGATCGCTATGGAGGTAGACAGTTTGAATTTACACATATGTTTTTATCTTAGGTGTTAATGTACCAAGGAATCGATTTCTGCCAGTTAAGAAGACATCTGATCTGCTCCTTGTTATGTCCAATCTGTATGACATGAAGGCAGGGTCGCTGACCATGAGTGGACTCCGCCAATTCCCAAGCACCCCCCTCATCAAGCTAGGAACTCACTTTGATAAGGTAATATTATTAGTCAATTGTAAGGCCTCTGCTAAACTTTGGGAGTGTTCATAAAAAAAATTGCTGATTTGCTGATGAAAGCAACACATTATTCCATTTATTTAAGAGGGCCCCTGAATATACGATAACCTTCTAGGATATTCTGGAAGGGCCACCCTATAGATATGGTAACTATCTCTAATTTTGCAATGTATTTTATTTATATGTAGTTTTTATTTATTGGAGCCATTTTAAGGCAGTAAGTTTATGCAGCCTAAACTGACGTGCTTTTTTATGTAACTTGTAAATATTTAGGCCGATCTGGACCCTTTTCAGTTGTACAGTGTGATTGATGTGTGAGAGAGTCACAACAGTATGATAATGATAGTACTGGTCTTTATGTATAATGCACCTGACATTTAAGCAACTAAAAGTATTTCATTGTTTATTTATATTTTCCTCTTAGGTTCGTTCTTTCTTGTCGAGGTTTGCTAGTATACCTGATATGTTAGATCTTGATCACCTGACTGTGTCAGGTGATGTTACCTTTGGCAAAGGTGTTATACTAAAGGTGAGTAGGTTGAGTTTGGTAAGATTACCTCTTTAGTTCAAAAGGTTCAATTTTTACAGTCATATACCTAACTATATGAAATGTGTTTTTGTGGGTAAAAATGAATATTACAAATGAAACATAAAAAAAAAAAAGCACATAAAAAAACTAGCACAGAAGTTGAGATATTATTAGTGCATTAGTTTGAGAATACTTATTCTTATCATCCTGCCCTAATAAACATTCTGTCCAGATAAATAATTCATTAACAAATCAATTATAGACGGATCTAGGCTGGGTTCCCCCTGTGAAAATAGTTCCCCGGTCTTTTGCCCACTGGGATGATTTCCCCAGACTTCCCCCTCCCCCCATGCATTAATTTAAAAAAAATTTAAATACAAGGAATACATCAAGATTTATTAACTCTTATAGCCCATGTGAACAAGTAACAACAAAATTTACATGATTTTTTTTTATTCTAGTTTTTTCACTCACTTTTTCAATCTAGTTATTAACAAAACTTTAGCATAGAAAATATTTATACAAAAAGATGTGTATAAGAGACAGATGTAGGGGTGTGGCGCAGTATATATGTATGTATATGTAGGAAAGCTTGTAAATACGAAGCTGCAATTCAGCTTCAGCTGCCATTGAATTTTTCTGGGAATAAGTTATCCAGGCGGAAACCAGCCTGCTCCCTTATATATAAGTAGTAATAATAAGGTATATAAACCACCATATTAGTACCCCTTCAAAAGAACCCCAATCCAGTTGTTAAATATTAAGCAATTATTAACCAGCTATTTCCCTGATAATCAACTAAGAGAATGAGTATATAAATTGCATTATTATTCTTTGAGAAGAAACTGCTGTTATAGTCATTTCACATTTAATATTATATGCAGATAATATACAAAACAATTTTTATTATCTTAAAGGGAACGGTGATCATTATTGCAAATCATGGTGACAGGATTGATATACCATCTGGATCGTTGCTGGAGAACAAAATCGTTTCGGGCAACCTACGTATTCTAGATCATTAACCAGCCAATCTGTGTAGGAGATTGTTTTACCGTTGTCAGTAATAATTCTTGCAGTGTGCCGAGCGGCCTTAACAACGATTTTAATTAGTTGATGCACTTCAATGAATCAGCTGAAAGGGAATTTTAGTTACACAATCCAAGGTGCTGAAAATATTTGGCAGCCATAATGGCAATAGTTTCCCCTACATCTTTCCACTAACTGGTTCCCAATACTGTTGAATTCCTTGGGACATGTTGAAGGTTTTCACAGATTACCAAGTCTAAGTATACTCACTGTTGATATTTCACCAAAGGATAATAATAATAATATTAATAATAATAATAATAATAATAATAATGGTCGACTTATAGAACGCATATTATCGAGACCTCTATGCGCTTAACATGAAAATGAAAAAACGTACCAAGAAAGTACAGTAATACTTAATGTAACTATCCTATTCCCTAAACTAATCATGGTTTGGCCGTTGGCTCCAAGGAGCTCATCCACCCTTTGTCCATATATTTTTTTTAATTGCTGCTGGGTGACCGATTCACTCTCTCACCCAAAGGCTGCTAAGGTTGTAGATGGAGCTGCCAGTTAGTCACTGGTGATTCGAGTGGATCATTTTAATGTCATACCCAGGTCATTTTAACTAAAACTAATCTTAACTACCTAAAACTAACTTAAACATAAACTGGAGGTAAAATTATCCCCCGCTGGACACCATCCCGGTATTTCCACATAAAGGTTTCAGGGTTAAACTTGTAGAAATTATGTATAAGATTATATGTATAGATGAAGGTTTACCATGAAAAGTTAAACATCAAAGCTATTTGGTTATTAATAAGTCTTCTAATGATTAGCATAAGGTATTTATTACACTGTTGTAAAACAAAAATGTTATGTTACTACTTGTTATTCTTTTATTATGTTATAATTTTATTCATATAATATTTTTTATTTATTTTTTATAATTTGCATGAAATTTTCATTTTTGTTTATCTTATTTGTTGATCAGCACGAAAACGACAAATATGGAGGGGTCTGTCTGACTGATAACCAATCAATATTACATTCTGACATTCAGAGATTTTAAATATATATTATAGTAAACAGCTGAAATTGTACATAGGAATATTATGATGGTATTATGAACATCATACAAATTTTAGAATACATAAATTATGTCTATTGATAAATAAAATTAGGAAAAATGATTACTATGTTACAAAATTATTAACATTCAAATATGTGATTGTGTTTCTTTTATTATTGATATTTGTTTTAATTGGAAAGTTGATAAAGTTTTGAAAGCAAAGTTTGATTCCTATGATCCATGTTTGTACTGTGCTTGGTTGTCCCCATTAACCCAGTGAAATGGGCAGTGCCTCCAGTATGCTGTCACATAGCCCCACAGTGGTTGAGTGGAAAAAACATGAAAAATTCTAATGAATCGTAATTTTGAATAATAATGCCTCCGGGGAATTGAGTATATTGTATTTGATACAGCTATTGTATGTGCTATTATAGGTGCCACAAATGCTGTGCGTTGCCATCATCCACAGAACTGCTTGTAATATTCCGGAAACTGCTCAGAAATATTTCCAGTTGAAACCAGGGACAGATCCAGAAAAACTTAAAGGGTTTGGCTATGTTGACAGAAAAAATAAGTATATATTTAGGCTGTTATATGCCTAGTGATGAAAACATATCTGACTAATACTTCAGGGGGATTAATGCCTAATTAAAAGTGGTGCTTGAAAAGAATGTGTACTCTATATTTTATTGCTTATAGTCGATGGACATTTCCACTATGCATTGCCCCTTGGATATTATTGCAAGTTTCCTCAAAATGTCATGGTGCATATTTCCTTCGCAATACAGATAGATGTGCACATATTCCCTGTTTCTGCCTATCACATTCCCATTTTTCAGATTTTTTGGTTATATTTTTAGATAGACACTATGAAAAGTAGGCTGGGTGCAAGGCCCTAAATTTGGGTTACTCAGTGAATTCCCAGAAATATAATCCTTTTATTGTGCTCAGTGCATGCCATACCAGATTTTAACTCTATTTTCCAAACTTTGGGCAAGTTTATACGGAAAGATACATTTCGACGTTGTTGATATTTTATTAATGATTTATATTTATCGTTTGAAAATTTTACCTACCATGTTAAATTCAATCCAAAGAATGTATCTGTATTCACAACCTTACCCCCATATCTTAAGGCAGACCTATCTTGTATTGTGATAATTGAAAAATACAACACAGGAAACTATAGATTTTATTCTGACTGTTATTCATTCATTAGGTGAGACTTTTTTATACCTTGTTTCGCAAACCCGCCGTTCTCAAATATTGATAATTTAGAATGAAAATAAAATTTTATTTTTTGCCAATTGACACCCGCCGCCGCGAAAAACTGCAAATTTTATAAAAAAATGAAAGTTTATCTTAATTTTTATTACGCCCGCTGCTGCCTTGAATTCGTCAAAAATAGATGTATATTTCTTCCATATTTATTTGGATCCCATTGGAAATATATCAACTTTAGTTGATTTTTGTGGGTCGTCCATGCCTCCATACTCCATTTTTACTGGCAATTTTTATCTGTTTTTTGTATGTCTTTGTTTTGTAAAGTGTTATATTTGAATGGATGCTAAATAAATAAATGAAAAAAAAATATATAAATTTAAAGCATTTAACCATCCCATGATTACACTGTTCACATTCAACAATAAAAATTATATTTTTATTTTATCCTCCGTTGGGATGTTTTTGGCAAAACTAATCGCTAAACAAGCAAACAAAATTTTATTTTTATTATTTTTCCGCCGGCCTCTGACTATCCTTAAACAAATAAGTTTGCGTAACAAGGAATAAAAATAAGTCTTGCCTTATGGCTATACCATCTTCTACTCCATTTAGTCATTAGTTACACATACACATAATTAAATAAATGAACAGATAATTTCATGAGTTAACCCGTTCATTCATGTAAATTGAGCTGAGAGTTGAATTAATGAAATGTTCTATTTATTATTGCAGGGTTAAAAATAGTTGTTTTATTTGCTTTTTAACATACTGATAAAAAGACCCTTGCAATTTTATTGGTAGAATTTAATCAATCAATCATTTATATAGCACTAATGGCCCTCGGAAAGCACTATGTCCTAAAGTACCACTATTGTCCTGCCTGTTGGGGTGTTATAGGAGTCTCAGAAACAACACATTGTCATCTACATTGTCCATTGACATGACTGGTACACCTAAAATGTGAGATAGCGCATGAAATCCGCGGGGACTAGCAGTCCGAGAGGCAGCCCTTTGAGTACTTCGGAGGTTGATGTGGCAACATAGCATGGCAACCCTATGTATCTGCTTCTGGCCACCACTGGAAACACCAGAATTTAGATTTCCTTCGCCTGAAGCAAGAATAAAAGCAGGAAAGTGACGCCATTTCTATTAAGGCTTTCCTTGGGCTCCGAAAACTTTGGTTAAACCCCTGATTTGATGTACAGTAATTATAATTCTTTTGTTGCCCTCAGTGCGCGCCATACCAAATTTGATTGGCGTCCCATACTCATTTTCTGTCGTTGGTGGCGCTGTCAAGAATGGAAAAATATACAGGACTGTCTTTTAAGGTATTTTAATCAAAGATGGGTACTTATACGGTGCACAAAGTTGATAATAATGATCATTTTTTGTGGTTTGATAGTTTTAAAGCAGCCAAACACCACATCAAAAAATTTGAGGAATCCACTTGTCATTTTGTAATGCGCAGCGTCACTGAAAAGGAAGGTAAAGTAGCCTATAGGCTAGCTAGAGACCAGGGAAAGTGCCTGCCAGCCGGGCCAGGCAGGGTCCGGATATTATAATTTTCTGCCTATGCCTAGGTAGGCCTGGTCCTATTTCAGGGAGTCATTCATGATCATATGGCTGGCTAGGCTAGTTATATTTGCCTAGCAACGAAATAATTATTGTGATGTAAAACAACAGCTTTTGAATTGACTGAGCTATTGCAGGAATTTAGTTCACTTATTCCAATCTAGATTTTATTGAAGTTAACCATTGGGAATCCTACATTACCATTATAATTGTCAACATTTTTTTCTATTCCAAGATAAACCAGAACAGTAAGTATAACCGTCGGACAGTATCAAGACGCCTTCGGGATCAAATTATTGAAGCTAAGATAGAGGATATCCCACACGAATATAGGTGTTATGTACAGTTTCCCCGCGTTGAGGATCACAAAGGACATGAAACTGGTGCAGTAAGTATGTCCAGCATATCTTAAGCGGCCGATGGTCGTTGGCCGACGCGATTCTTGAAGAACGCACCACTATGACGAGCACGCAGTTGATTGTTTTAATGACGATCCTTTGAGAGGCTTTTAAAGTAATAAATGAAATTGAATCTTTTACTGTACACAAAGCAAATAATGTTTATATGAGTATTTTCATCATTTCTTTAATATACCCGCCTGGAAACTAAATTTGTTGTCAAACAGTAAACTAATTTAAAAAATCATTCAACTTTTAGGCTCAAAGCAATCAATATGCTATGCAGCGAACTTAATCTCTTTTTTAATTGGCAATCGTATTACAAGAGAAGCGTACACACAAGATGCTCTACATAGATTAAAGCCAGGCACCTACTGCACACGAATATATGGGGGAAAAGAGCCAAAATGCCCACCCAACGGGACAAGCACCTTAACACCAAGCTATCCAAAAATCACAGAAGGCACAAACAAATCAGAAATACAGTATATATATGTTTTTTTTCAGGATGCTGCAATTCTTCAAATGCCCAATGAAACAAGGTTTTTCACAGACATGACAACAAGTGGGCCAACACCACCAACTATTAAGAAATCTTTGGAAGGAATGAAAAATTCCATTTTTTCTGATACCCAAACTATAAAAGATTTGCCTGTTGGTAGGAAAGCTGAGATTAGAAAAATTTGCAATCTACTTACTAAAATCAAAAATAATCTGTATAAAGTTCCTTGTGAAGAGAAGTTAGCCAAGGCCAAGGAACATCTCCAGACTGCTCAAAAAATTTTATCAAGTGCCTGTGCAGTTGACAGTAAGTCAAGTGGAAGGTCATCACTGAAGAAGAGGAAACCGGAAGAATCTCAAGTTGATCCTCTTCCTAGAAAACTTCCCAAAACGACCACTTTAGAACAATCAAGTAAGCTGTCAGTGCATGGTGAGACACAAATCACAGCAGTGCAGGTTATTCAACTATTCTAAAGATTTTTTTTACTACAAAAATCTTGGATATCAATTCAAAGAGAGACATTTATCAAGTATATTTGAGGCTTGCCATCCCAAAACTAGTGTACTGTCACTAAATGTTAAACTGAGTAATCAGCATTAGAATGTGCCAGTATTGTATACTTTAGTACAGAGAAGCTATAATACTTTACAGTGATATGTACAGAGAAGCTGTAATATTTTTATTCACAACTTTGGCAGTTTGTCGGTTCCAGTAAATGACTGTAGAATGTGAATGTATTATAAAGTCAGTTTCCTTGTTTTAGTCACTGATGCTGGTACCTCTGTAGTAGGGTATAAACGCAAGTACTGTATAATAACTAAGAAAGTATAATACATACTCCAAGTATTGAAATACACGCCATCATGTTGGGATTCAATATTTCGACATTAATTATGTCATCATCAGGAACGATGGGGTGGAGGGTGGTAAATCGAATAGGAAGACTTCACTACTTGGCAAATACTCCCATGATTTAAAATGGAGTCACAGGATTGCTTTGTTGTGGCTTTGGGCCACTTGAACTCGCTATGAGCTTGAAGGTTATAGTTGATATTTGTTTTATCGGTTAACAAATTATGATTGTTCAGTTGCTAAATTTGATCAATACCCTGTATCATCAACTTTTTAACTATTTATGTGATGTTTTAATAAAATTCCAAATTTTTGCAAGAGTTTTACACAGGACACTGATATACTTGTTTTCTTCACTTTATAATCCTATCAAAAAATAAAAAAATACAGTATGTTACAGTATTGTAATGTGATCGCTGTTTATAAATAATACTCGTGGATGTCCAAATTAACACTTGAATCTTCCTTTACGAAGCAAGGAGGTGGCGTGCACCTTATTACTAACCCAAACAAATGCAAAAACAGTCATTGTATTTAGTGGCGGCGGCAGAATTTATCCAACGGAGGTCTGAGAATTTCTGGTTGGGTCCAGGTGTGAAGCAGTTAAGTGGAGGTTCAGGTGCTTATTATTTTATAGCCCCCTCTCTTGCCTAAAAAAACTGAGAATTTTGGTTATTCTAAGCTGCTTTAGAACTTATTCCGCTAAAAATTGTTTAGATATAACAAAAATGCTTTCTCTTGCTTTGGTCCGATGGGATGAGGTGTACTTAAGCTCCTGCCCCCGCGCCACCACTTGCTGTATTCCTAAAAGAATATTTAGCATTAAGAAGTGGTGGGCCGTGGTGGGGAGGGGTTATATCCCTGATTAACACCCCCGAGGAGTTTCAAAAGTTTTTAGTGGTGTAGCCAGGGGGGTTGGGAAGAGGGGGGGCCAGTGTACCCCACATTTTGGCCTCTCCCCGCCCCTGAATGGGGTAATGAGGTTCATTGACATTTCTACATGATTAATTTATATTGTGGAGTTTTATTTTACTGCACAGTAGGCCTATACATATTGGCAATCACAGGCATTTATACAAACTCAAGTATCTCTACACACTTTTCTTGTTGCCAAACAATGGCTAAAGTACAATCCCGTTCCCGGACATTCATATTTCTAAAATTTAAATAATTCGTTATTAAGATACAAAATACAATAATTTCATCATGGTTTAAAATGTTCTGTATAATGAATAAACTGCTATAAAATAATATGATGTTCATTTTGATTGTTTAATTCTATAAATTTCACTTGATTATACATTATTATTCGAGAGCAAACAGGCTGAGGTCACGTAAGATAGCCATTATACAGCCATATTGTACAATTTTTCCAGGACCCCGACCGGGGGCCCTTCGCGATCGCTGGCCCCCCAGGATTTCGTTCCTCGCTTTGATCTGAACACTTGTTCCCCCCACCATATAATATCACGGACCCACACTTCCCCCGCCCCCTACAGAAATATTCTGGCTACGCCACTGAAAGTTTGACATACGATATTTCAGAAACATAAGTAAATAAAAGGTGATTTGAGTATTATGGTAACTTATTTAACTAAAATTAAATTTTAATTAAGTTCTGGAAGCATTTCTTTCAATTGAAATTATTGTATGATGGGGATAATTTTGAGACCGGATAGGTCATGTGATTCAATCACCTTACTAAATGAAACACTTGCTTATTGTGTATCTCATATTATTTACATCATTTCTGGATTGAACATAATGTGCTAAAGCTTTCGTAAAACAAATACAATATTATTATGAAAACGTAGAATAATTAGGAATTTACGGGCCTGTTGCTGCTACGTATTTCCTACACCATGGCCCGAGGGGCGGGATTTTCCCTTCCGTATTACGTTCCAGTGGTCTGTTTGCCTGTCTGTTAGGGTATAGTGACGTCACTTGAGCCGTTCACAATTATTCGCGAATGATACAAAACGGGTTTTTTTTTTGGGTTTTTTTACTACCCTTTGAATCAGGGAGATTAGATTAACAATTCCCTGCTTCGCTACCACCAAACACCATCCACTGATTGATTTTTAAATGAAAGATATTTAACTTTTCTTAGGCCTACTATTTAAAACTTTAAAAAAATCCTCTATTCAACTGTGAATGCTACATTAAAACATTTTTATTTTTTACAGAACCCCATTTTTGTTTTCAAATTAAAAATTACAGAGAATTTTTTTTAAAGCTGTTCGTTTTTCTAATTAACAATTTAAACATGATTCTTAAAACCGAAAATATCCGGCAAAGCAAGGCACGAAAAAACAAACACCCTCTCTGTGTACCATCGTAAGTTATAAATACCGCACTCGTGTGAAAGCGCCCGGGCACTTAAAATATTGTTTGCACTTTTTGAGGGGCGCTTATTCAAAAGGGTAATTTATGAAAACAGAGTGGAAATTGAAGGGGCGCTTATGTGAACAAGGAAAATTTAAGGGGCGCTTTTCGAATATAAAAATATATTATATAGGCCTAAGACATCTTGAAGATAAACGAATGGTTCTGGTGCAGAATAGATAATTGTCCAGATCCTGTGAGATGCCCCCTATTTAGAATGCTGTGGGTATTTACACAAACAGAGGATTAGTGGTGGTGTGGTGGTAAGCTTGTTGGCCATCTGCCGATTGACATAACAGGATCAATGCAGGATTTCTTATAAACTCAGATCAGAACGTGCTTAAAGGTGCAAATTGTCGGGTAAAGAAAAAATAAAGAAGTATGACTAGGCGCATATTAGTTATTCCCGGCCGATTCATTGCTAGATGTAAGTTGTCCAGCGAGCTCTCATCTGTCAAGGAGAAACATTCTCATTTTGAAATGACATAAGAAAAAAGTGTGAATCCACTCCACAGCTCAAATCATACCAACCAGAGTCCCACGAATTCGATTGTTGGCTTGCTGAAAAAATCAATACTGTACTGGCCTACTGGTATTCAAGAGAGTTGGGTATACGGTTGTTGACTGAATTAAGCATTCTATATAGCCACACAGTATTTTAATTTTAAGAGTTAAATGCTGTAGTTCTAAATCCAAGATGATGTACAAGGTAGCGATAAAACAAGATTTCGCGCGTGTACCGGGTACTGTATCATACCGTATAATATTAGGCATATACTGTATTATTTATTTATTTTTTTTTTACAAAATTTAGTTTTGTGTTAAAATACAAACAAATAGATTTAAATCATCAGGGAACAGTGAAACTTACTGAATTTCATTGTTCTCTGCCTTTTATTAACAGTTTTGCTTCTCATAAAAAATTAAATTTTTGACATACGATATTTCAGATACACCATTGTACACCATTTAAAAAAATGTTTTTAATGGTGTACAGTAAATTAATAAAAATCAGTGCTTACTGGCCGCTGTCAGACCGGATTACTGGTCTTCCGCCCTCTATTGTCCTGCGGAAATGTTATCAACACTTCACGGGTTCTGGCGGATTATTTTGAATATTGTCAATTGTTCATGACATGAGCTATTGATATGGTCTTTTACAAGTGTACCGAATTGGTGATATGTAAATTGCAGCATTTAATTATTCTTCTGCTTATTAACTTCGTTACCGTCATCATTTGTATACAAAATAATGTATAGATAGCTTTAGTGTTAGCTTTGATTAGGGCATAGATAGGGCCTAGATACATTACTAGGCTAGGCCAACTGAATGTACCAGTTAGGACTGGCCTACTAGCTAGGAAGGGGCCTACTACTACTCTAGCTAGCTACTTAACGTAGGCCTAGCTAGACCTAGATATAGAGTGGGAGACCAGTCTCTGTACTGTAGAGAAGCTAGGCTAGGGGCCAAGATAATATTTAAATTTAATATTTAGAGCCTATGCTTAACCTGCAGTAGACAGTTCTGAGTTTCCATTGCTTGATGGCAAATATAGATAGGCCTAGGCCTTAATTAGGAGGCCGGGAGTGATAGGCCTGGCTAGGTAGACTAGACATGAGATAGGGCCTTGCCTAGTCGTACAGTGCTTAAAGTTACTCCATATTGTAGGCCCTAACTAGTATCACGTGGTATCGTGACGAAACACTGTAGTACTATATGAGGAAAAGTATGAAAATACTATATATTTCCTTTATTTTCATTCCTCATATCATTTAGTATGAATTTACTTAGAATTAGAAACATGATCAGAACTTTTATGCCTATGGTAAGTAGGACGTAACATAAAACAAACGTATGACAACTATTGATTATACTTATTTCATAAATCTCCATTTTATTAAAACATGATTAAAATACATATTGTAATTATAAATGTTAACACAACCAACGATAAAAAGGGCGTGTCTCTTCTTTCCACAAATTATATACAGTAATCTATCTATAGTGTTATGCAACTAGAAATGGCCATAGGTTCAAGAGCAAAGTCAGTTCAGGACCAAATTGGTGTATGGGCCGAGTTGACAAGTGCCGAGTTGGCTAAGGGCCGAGATAACAAAGGCTGAGTTGGTGTATGGGCCGAGTCAGTTATGGGCCGAGTCGGTTAAGCGCCAAGTTGACAATAGCCGAGTTGGTTATGGGCCGATTCGGTTAAGGGCCGAGTTGGTGAAGGGCAGAGTCGGTATGGTCCGAGTCGGTTAAGGGCCGAGTTCACTTAAAGCCTCGATTTATCTCTTTTATTTGAATTTTATGTTGTTCAATTGTTTATTGAAGAAAGAAATATATTTTATTATAGGCCTAGCCTACACACTATATTTTATTCTTTTTCTCTACCTAATAATAATATTATATTATTATTAATAATATTAATCAATATTGCAAATTAAAATCAAATTTTCTTTTATAATGATGGCAATCATGGCCTGCAGGTTATCGCCCATTTAACAACGTAGAGCGAGAAATGTTTTCTCAATAAAACCTCAAAATGATGGTTTAATTAATTTGCTTAATCTACATTACAAAGACCATGAAAGTAAGATTATTATCACAAGGATATTTTTTGTTTTGCAAATGTCAACAGAAAGCAAAAACGTAAATAATGGCAACAGAGCCAGTGGTCAGTAGACTGACCAAGCTGAATCAGCTGATACAGAACAAGACCAAGGACAATGGCCTACAGTCACTCCTAGCCAAGGAAGGACTCCTAGATGCATTGCTCGTACTCTATGATGAATGTAATCAGGAAAATTTAACCAGAGACAAGCACATTTCATTGTTTGTCCAAAAGCGTAAGTATAACAGTAATATCCTGGATTTATAATGCAACTAATGTGATGAAACCAAAGCGCTGTGCATTAAATAGAATCGAAAAGAAAACGAAATTCCAACCATGTTAAAAAAAAAAATAAATTTAATCTTGGAATGCTTAACAAAACAAATATGTTGTAAATGGTCACTGACTGTACATCTTTAATGCGATCTGAATGAAAATTCCAAAGTGATGGATCTGTTGATATATTGCACAGTGACCTTATGAGATGGTGTTCATTTTTGGAGAAACAGCCGATTCTGTAAATAATTAATTTTTTAATTGATATATTTTTTATTTATTGAAGTATTACTCAAAACTGGTTGTTGAATTTGCATCCTCAGATAAAGCGACGATTCGTGAGTTACGCCGTTTAAGACTTAGCATTTCAGATTTTGAAATAAAAGATGTGATTGGACGAGGACACTTCGGTGAGGTAAAGGTCGTACGCGAAAAGTCCAATGGTGATGTCTATGCTATGAAGGTGCTACGGAAGTCGGATACTTTGGCTAAAGAAAATGTAAGTATAGACTAACAACTAGGCCATGAATGGTTAAATACTAGATCTATTTTCAATTGTGTTGAAAGCATTGTATTGTTTTGACATTGCATATTAGATTTAATTTATCATCATGTAATAAGATAAGAGCTTGTAGTTTTCCTATTTCAGGTCTTTACGAAAGAAATCAAAACAAACTAAAATCAATAATTTTTGTATTCTTTTTTTCAGGTTGCTTTTTTTGAGGAAGAGCGAGACATCATGGCGAGGGCAGACAACACATGGATCACATCATTACAATACGCCTTCCAAGATGAGGTCAACTTGTACTTAGTGATGGAGTTCCTTCCGGGTGGAGATCTGTTATCCCTGCTCAGCCGTTATGATGATATCCTTGAAGAGAACATGGCTAGATTCTACCTTGCGGAGCTGGTGGCTGCTTTGCACAGTCTACACATGCTAGGATATGTACACAGGTAGACAGCTAGTAACTTATATAAACTTGTTTTGCCATATATAGTCATGATGTGCCCATATATAGTCATGATGTGCCTATATATATGGTCATGATGTGATGTCATCACCACTTTGCACAGTATACACATTCTAGGATATGTACACGGGTAGACAGCTAGTAACTTATATATTATAAAGCTGTCCACACTACCGTATCAAAAAACTATTGTATGCCGATATATAGTCAAGATGTGCCTATATATGGTCATGATGTGATGTCATCACCACTTTGCACAGTATACACATTACACAGGTAGACAGCTCGTAACTTACAGTATATAAACTCTGTCCACACTATCAACAAACTGTTGTTTTGCCATATATAGTCATGATGTGCCTATATATAGTAATGATGTGTCTATATATGGTCATGATGTGATGTCATCACCACTTTGCAAAGTATACACATGCTAGGATATGTACATGTGTAGACAACTAGTAACTTATATAATATAAAGCTGTCCACACTACCGTATCAAAAAACTGTTGTATGCCCATATATAGTCATGATGTGCCTATAAATATGGTCATGATGTGATGTCATCACCACTTTGCACAGTATACACATGCTAGGATATGTAATTTAATATTTGGAAACATGAAAGGCACCCATTTATCATCATAAGTTGATAACTAATATGATCTTTTAAAATAACCAATACTCAATACCCATTGCAATCTACTAATAGGTTACCATACATAGATTGAAGATTAACAACTTGCAGATCCAGAATTTTATTGAAAGGTGGTGGAGGAGGGAAATGTTTTTGTGTTCTATTTTTTCTTCAATGCAAGATGATTTTTTCAGGTTTACTATTTACTAAAGTTTTTTTGTGATAATGCATTTTGGTAAATTATTCTGTTTCAGGGACATAAAGCCAGACAACATCTTGATTGACAGGACCGGTCACATCAAGCTAGCAGACTTTGGATCAGCAGCAAAATTATCATCAGCTAAAACGGTAGGCTTAATCAACCATAATTAATCTAAATATTCATTCTCTATGATTAGGACATTAGGATCTTGCAGTGAAAATTATATAAGCACTTGTATCTGCTGTTTTTGATCTTCTTTTGAAGTGAGCTTTCACTGCTGTACAGATGCCAGATATTATTAATAAATTTTTATGTAAACCATGCAAATCAACAACAGATATCCAGCCATGTTGAATGGCTTTAAGTCGCAGCAAGTTCAAAGGAACCACAGTGGGCCTGTCATGCTGGTTTTACAGCTGCCTAGAATATATAATTGATACAAAAACAGCGATATGCATAGTGCATTAAAAAAACCACCTCTGTTGGTCCCATGTGCCTGCTGTTCTCAGCCTTCAATTTGGAATAAGTCCTCAGTTCACTATCATGCACTGCCAAGATGAAAGCACTGCTCCAAGTGAAAACCAGGACTAATAATAATAAAGAATATGAAATAGCAAAAATCTAGGCTCACCAACATGTTTGATTTCATCTAAAATTGTACATGAGGTAAAAGTCCCCGTTAGCAGAAATGGTCCATAGTGAGCTGTCTGATAGTTGAAAGTGAGCTGTCAAATGGTCCAGAGGGAGCTGTTAGCAGCTCCATAAACTTCGTTTTAAGAATGTGAATTGGGAGTTAACAAGAGATGTCATGGCCAGCAACATATAGCCATTGGAATGAAAACAAGAAACATATTACAATCACTCACTTCATCTCATGGGCTTCAGTGGCAATAAATAATTTAAGAACCCATCGCTATTCAACAAACCAGCAGGATTTATAACCCAGGTTTTTCCAAAAGCCGGGTGCCATGGACCACTCTGTTAACGGCCAAAAATGCAGCATGAAAATTTAACATTTTTTATTCTTCAGGTGAACTCAAAGATGCCAGTCGGGACCCCTGATTATGTCTCGCCTGAAGTTCTTGTGTCCATGAACAAGACGGAGGGGGGTAACTATGGTGTGGAGTGCGATTGGTGGTCTGTCGGTATTGTCGCCTACGAGATGTTATACGGGAAGACTCCATTTGCGGGCGACACAGTAATGGAGACTTACAGTAATATAATGAACCATGCAGTAAGTCCTTTTGTTTATTTTGTTCCCATCCTATTTTTTTCCCAATATAACTCTGTCGCATACGAGATGTTATACGGGTTAAAAACGTTTTACTCAATATTTACCTTACAAAACAAAATACTTTTTAAAGCCTCACTAATTGTTTTAATGATTGATTAATTGATTGATTGATTGACTGAATGATTGACTGATTGAATAATTGGCTAATTGATTTACTGATTGATTGATTGATTGATTGACTAATGATGACTGACTAATGATGACTGACAAATATTTTGTATTTTATTTGTATATTTATTGTTGATGAATTTCATAATGATTATTGAACGAAATCTTATCCATTTGGTTTACAGTAGATAATTTCTTCTATATTGTTTTTCATTCGTAGAAAACGCTACGCTTTCCAATCAGATCCATAGTCACAAAGAACGCCATTGACTTGATCAAGGGATTGTGCTGTAAAAGAGAAAAACGACTTGGTTACGAGGGCTTGGGTTGCCACGTTTTCTTCAGTGGGGTTAACTGGGCTACACTCAGAAAAAGTAAGACACCACCCTCTATTGCATTGTGGATATCAGAATTTTGAAAAAATTGATTGATTTATTTCTTTTTTATTATTTCTTTCTCATCTCACTTCAAGTAAACTTGCCAGTTACAGGATGGAGTAATGCTGTGCAAACTCCCATGATGCTTAGTGAGCATTGTTGGTTTTAGTTGAGAAAAAAGTGTTAACCATTTTTTTTATATTGTCAGGTGTTCCTCCGTTCGTTCCAACTGTGAACAGTGTTGATGATACATCAAATTTTGATGAGTTTGATGCAGCGCCACCAACCATTGATGTTAACAGTTTCATGAAAAAGAAGGATTTCAGTGGCAGGAACTTGCCTTTTGTTGGGTTTACCTTTACAAAGCAGCTATCAAACATTACAAAGTGAGTTGTTTTATTATCAATAGTTGCTTTTTATCATTTCCAAAATTATTATTACTATTAAATTTATCACCGTCTTGTCATTATTGGTATCATAATATTCATCATTGTCATTATCATCATCATCATCATCATCATCATTTTTTATGTGGTTTTTGTAAATCATTATCTTTTTATCTTCATCATCTTTGTTACCAAACTCATTGTCATCACCATCACCATCATTATCATCACTCCTATCATTCTTATCATCATTAGTGTCATTAACATTCCTATTTTTATCCAAATTTTTATATCTTTTATGCAGACCACTTCTAGCTCTAGATGTAGCATCACCTGCTGCTAAAACGTCCACCGAGAGGCAGCTTGCCGCAAAAACCAAAGAGCTGAACGAACTCAAAGAGAAGTACCATCAGATGGAGCTTGAACATGCCCCAATGAGCCGTCAGTTCAACGACCTCAACACCACAATCAGCGACAAGACAGACAATTTAAAAAGACTTCAGAAAGAGAAAGATTTGCTTGAGAAGGAAAAGGCCATGTCACTTACTGAGATTGCTGTAAGTGTCTCAAAAGATAAAAAATTTGTTTTGTACACACCTGGATATGCCTATTTGAAGTGGATACCCCTATTGTGGTCCTGAAGGTGTCCCCATATACTGTATTAATCTATATGAGAGATACATCCAAATTCAAGAAACTGATCATTAGAGATTTTCTTTGCCCTGTGTGGTAATGATTTTTTTTTTTTCATTTTAGAATTTGAAGAGAATTTTAGAAACTGAAAGAAAAGAGCATGAGTTACTTGATGGGAAGGCAGTTCAACTTGTAGCACAAATAAGTGAGATGAACAAGAAGGCTGAGAGTATTAGGAATGATACTACAGGGTACAAACTTTTTACTCAATATTTACCTTAAAGATCAAAATACTCTTTAAAGCCTGATTGATTGACTGACTGATTTACTGATTGATTGATTGACTGATTGATTGTTTGACTGATGAATTGATTAACAGAGAGTTTTCACCCACCATTTAACTTTCATAATGATAATTGAATGAAATATTAATCCATTTGGTTTTCAAATTTTGTATGGTTACAGGTCAGAGTTGAACGAATATAAACTAGCATTCACGCAGCTGGAATTGGATCGTTATGTGGCCTCTCAACGAGCAGAGAATCTTGAAACTGAAATGAAAACACGGCAGAAAGAGCTAGAGGAGAGCAAATCTCTGGTGATAGACCTTCAAGGCAAATTAGCCAAGGTAAGTTTAGCTGAATGCATATCTAAAACAGTAGTAGAAGTATGGAAGTTCAATAGAGGACTAAGGAAGGGCTTTTATAGATGGAGGGTCCATACCATTTCAGTCCCTTTATGCCTGGGGCTAAGGTTCCTTTAGTTAGCTGGAAAATCGCACTATCAGATATAAATTTGAATGTAATTATTTTAGTATATATAATTTTTTTTTCAGAGCAAGGAAAGCTCACGAGGGGAAGTTCAGAAATTACAAAGAAAATTAGAAAAGGTAAGAATTTTAATTACACGTAAGATAATCAAACCTATATTTTTCTACTTTCATTTGTATGATTAATTTAAATTTATTCTTCTGGCAAACTGCAAATAAGTAAAAATATATATACAAAAGAAGAGAGCAGAATAAGAGCAAACACGGACAAGAAAATTTATGCAGATTTTACACATATAAAATGTTAAGTTTTTCAAACAGATATCTGAAGAAAGCAAGCAACAGATTACAGACTTGAAAGACAAATTAAGCAAAGCAAATGATGCTAATGCAGAGACCACAAACCTGCTGCAGAACTTGCGGAACTCCAAAGACCAAATGGAGAAGCAGATGAACTCTAAGATTGCCAAGTCCGACTGTTGCCAGATGGTGCAGCAACGTCTTCAGGAACGAAAGGACATCCAAAAAAGTCTGGAGAACCGGTTACATGTTGTCCAAGAAAGAGAGGTTATGCTGAAGGAATCTGTTGAGTCTAAGCATAGCGTGATCCAAAACCTCACCAGTAAACTGCTAGAGATCGAAGACAAATATGAGGAGACTTTGCAGAAGCTTCAGAAGTCAGAGAGAGACAACGCCCGTAAAGAAACAGCTACTGAAGGTCGTGTGACAGAATTGAAACTGAAGCTGGAGTCTGCTCGAACAGAGCAAACTGCTCTCCAGGATGTTATAAACAAAAACCAGCAAAGATTAGAGGAGTATGTTTCTGACATTGCCATGAAAGAGAAGGTAAGTGTTGTGATGAGCCCATGCTATTTAAAAATATGCAAAGTAAGACAGTTTGAAACAAACTGTGAATAAGGTGATACAAGCTATTGTTGATTCTATAGCTCAAACTTTATTTGTTCATTGAATAAAGTTCAGAATCAACAATAGCTTGTATTTTTTAATACTTACCTGAAAATTGATTTTGCCATTGTTCTTGAACTAGAATATCCCTCAAAAATTAACTTTCTGTCACATCAAGTTTCTGTGCTAATCAGCGTGTGCTACTATCTTTTCATTATTGCTATTACTGTGATATTCTTACGATTCATGCAGGATTTGCAAACAATTTATAAAATCTATACAGAGAGTATATATTGTTAAGTTACAGTATGATCCATTTCTAGGGAACTCCTCATGAATAGAAAAGAGGACTGCAGGGATTGTAAAACATTTGAATTAAAAATTTCTTGTTTTTCTTATTCCACAGGAGGTTCAATTAGAGAGGAACAAGGTCAAGATGTTGGAGCAACAAATTTCGGAGACGTTAACGACTCGCAGTGAACGTTTCGCAAATGAGATCAAGGAAACCAGGTATTAAGTCAAAATCGTCATCATCGTTACCAACAGTATCATCATCATCTTGGCATCCTTAAATATCAGTTAATTTTTTTATAATATATTTTACACCTTTACAGTATATGTTTCTTAACTTTTGTTGATTAGACGAGTTGAGGCTGAGAAACTTGCAGATTTGCGACAAGAAAAGCTGTATTTGGAGACACAAGTTGGTATGCTGGAAGCAACGCTGAAAACAAAAGATGCTGAAGGAAGCATGCAAGCCAAACAGGTCACTGAACTTCAGGAAAAATTTAAAAAGGCATGTAGTTCAACCTTGTATTTAATAAGAAGTCAATATAAACTATTATACTATATTATAATAATAATAATAATAATAATAATAATTAAAGAAGTAAATATAAATTATTTTACTATATTATTATAATAATAATAATAATAATAATAATAATAATAATTAAAGAAGTCACTCCATAGAGTGCCTACCTCCGCCCTGTGTCTGAATACCAAAGAATATGCAGGCTGGTGGGCGATTCCATTATTTTCATTTATGCTCGATAGTAAAAAATTGAATTTCTGTGATCTTGTCCTTGTCCCTTGATCGTTTCTTCACTAAAGTTCATCATCTCTTTCTTAGGTTAAAGACAAACAGACAAACAGACACAGCAGTAAATAAACCTACTTAATAATTGTATGTTAATAGTGGGTAAGCTTGTTCTCTTTCCTTTAACTCTAGAAAACATGTGAATATCAAGCTGAGGTCCAGAGCCTGAAGGAACAACTACGGGAATCACAGAACACCAGCATGGAGGCAACCAGTACCATCACACACCTTCAAGACAGTGAAGGTCGACTCAAGGAACGACTGCAACGTCTGCACCAGCAGCTTGATGACAGCGTCAAGGAAGCTCAAGAAAAGATCAGCAGTGTAGAGGTCAGGAGGTTACTTAGGTTGTAATTTAGGCTCACATGCTCTATCATAACATATTGTCATTGTATTATTTTAAGTAATGCTTAATAAATTTGATAAACTATTCTTAATTTAGAATGAGCGAGATGAAATTGAGGAGCAATTTAATCGTCTTCGAGACAGTTGCAGTGTTATCACAGACATGGAAGAGAACATCCAGAATGTGACAGAGCAATGTGCAGAACTCTCAGCACAGAATGAGGTCCTTAAGATGCAGGTGGACGAGGTCACAGAATCAAAGAATTCTCTTGTGCAGGAGATGGAGAGCGTGAACAATGAATTGTTTGAAAAGAAACAACAGTGTGCTAATCAAGAATTAGTGAGTCATAGATTTTGATATTGTCTATTTAACATTGATGTATAGAGAGTACAAATAATACATATACTGCATTTATCGAAGTGTTTATAATAATATTTGTAAATTGTAATGGTCGCTATCAAAAATGAAAATCAAGCAAATTAATGATTTTCTTTCCAGACAATCTCAATGCTGAAGACATCTTGTACTATGCTAGAAGAACAGGTCACTGACCTTGAGAAGTTGAATGAGAAACTGGAAAACAAGGAAGAAAACCTCAGAGGAGAGAAATCCAATTTAGATTCCAGCATCCAGCAGATGAGGACTAAGCTTCAGGAAATGACACAGACTTTGGAGGAAGAGAGGAATGTCAGGTTGGTAACATACTAGCAATTGGTGCAGCAGTTTTTCTGTGTGCACTCAACCATAAACTCTGGGGTTTGAACTTATGTTGTGTATTTGCATGTAGTGAGGCTTTTTGTGTAAGTGGGTTGAAAATAAAATATTTCTTGAAGGTTTGCATGGTGAGTATCAATAGCAAAATAATTAAACTTTTGATACACCATGTATTTCATTTCATTTATTTCATTGGCACAAACGGCCCAGGGGCTGGGTCAGCGACAGGGCGCAATAACACCACAAGCGGTGCCTGCAGGCCGTGGAACATAAAACAGGGCACAGTACAATAAAATTTACAATATTAATATCTGTACAAGCAATTAATCAAATTCATGGAAACATTAAAATATTTTTAAACACATTGAGAATATACTGTACAATACAGGGAAAATTAAGAATACTGTATAGTTTTTGAGGTAAAAGAATACTGTATAGTTTTTGTAGTGAAACCACTGGTTGATTGTATCAACGTTTCAGTTACATTGCTCTGACTATCAGGATAATAAAAAAAGACTTCTATTTGGCTTAAATAGAGAATGGTGATAGTCTGTGACCCAATGTAAATTACTGGTCTGAAGTATAAAAGTGTATATTGGTTAAATGTCATTCTTTCTTAATATCCTTTTTAAGGTGTACCCTTGAATCTGAGTGCAAGATTTTGGAGGAGAACATGGAGCAGGTGAAACTAGCAAGTAAGGCGCAGGAGGAGATACATCAACAACAAATTAACCGATATAAAGAAACCAAAGACACATTAACCAAGGATGTAAGTCATTTTCATCATTTCTGTATACAGTAGAACCCCAATTAAAAGGGACAATTTTTTGGCTACTAAACAAGTAGAAAATATCTTTTAATATTAGAGCACTTTTTGGTCCCGGAGATGTCCCTTATAGGGGCTCTACTGTATTCTGATATGAAGTTTTATATTTGGTAATGTGGATCTTACAGGATAATTCGTATAGGATGCTATAGTACAAATCTTATAGTATAAATAATAGAATAATAATAATATAGAATGTTGTAGAAAAAGTCAAATAGGATTTGATAGCACAAACCCTATATTATAGTGTAGAAGTCATAGGATTGTATAATACAAATCCTGTAGTCTTTATTATGACAAATTCTAAAGGATCTTATAGTGCAAATTTTATAGGACTTTATTGGAATAATTTTGCACTGATCTCTACTATAATAGCTGAATTGGTCATCGGCCAATCCTGGTACAGAAAAAAATGAGGCCTCCGACGCCATGTTGGAGGGCCTAAGTGACGTACCAGTTTAGAAAAGTTTCTTTTGGCATCTGTTTAAATTATAGTTAAAAATAACGATTCTTGCAATACTTTTCAATAATAAATTTAAATTTAACTTAGGAATTTTTTTTTCAAACCATCAACCACTAGACACGTCTGTTTAAGCAGTTTTCAAAAGCACAATCGAAGTCACGGTTGTTATAGTGGCGTCGATCCCTAACAACGAAAATAACTTTGCTTGCACTTTCTTAAACTGCATAAAAAGTCAATCAAGTAGATAGATCGAATAATCATTACGTTAAATTCAAATTTATTATTAATAATAAATAAATAAATTATTTATTATTATTTATTAATGCTAAAATGATACTTAGGCCCTCCAACATGACATCGGTGGCCTCACTAAAATCAGCCAATGAGCAATCCAGCTAGTATACTAGATAGCAGTAGATAGTAGATAGATAGAAAGTAGATAGATTGTAGGTAGAGTAGTAGATAGAGATATAGTAGAGATAAAGAGATAGTAGAGAGCTATTAGGTGGAGTTGAATGGAGTGGCTTCTAATCCCAGGGTCCTGGGCTCAGTCCCTGCCACAGCAGTAATTTTTCTCACTACCAAAAACAAATCCACCTCCTAAGCCTCATAAAGAGACTTGGTTTTGCATTCTGTAAGTGGCGAGTGTACTTGCTGTTGGATGTGAAGGAAGTAAATAAATTATTGTTTGTTTAAATATTTTTCTTATTTTTAGTTACATGACTTAGAGAAGAAGACTGCTTTAACGGAAGTGAACTTAACGTCGGCTGAAAGAATGTATCTCGAGGAACAACGAAAGTGCTCAGAATTACAAGATGAGGTAATACTGTACATATAAACACAAAAAAATAAAGTACCTTCAGTCTAAGATTTAAAGAACATGAAACAGAATTAATGAAGTTGTTTTCATTCTAGATTGATGAGATGGTTAAACAATTAACAGCAATAAAAAATACAAACTTCAAGCTAACTCAAAGCCTAGAGGCTGCCATTGATACCGGTGAACAAATCAAGAATGAGAAAATGGACATTGAGAATGAGTATGAGAGTACTCAGGTAAAATTAATCAAACACTTATGCAAGAAACAAATTTTAATTCATTTCCAAAATTATCTTGGGTGATGGTGGTTACTACAGTATATAAAATTAAATAATTGTCTTGAATTAAATTACCACCATCATCATCATTATCCTAATTAATTATTTAGCTAATAAATTTAATTACTTTCCTTCTGCAGTATCAGTACAACCATGAGAAAATTAAGTTAAAAGAAACTTTGTCACAGCAGACAAAACTGATCGACTTCCTGCAAACCAAAGTACAGAACCCAACAAAGAAAAAGAGAAAACTCTTTGGTAAGCAGAAGGACCATGATAAGCAATACAAGGATTTGCAGAGGGCACTGGAAGCCCAGAAAACCAGTACCACAGGCCAGGGAAAGACAGGAAGACAACATGTCCGTACACGGCAAAACAGCGCTAGTCATCCAAAAGAAAATAGTAAGAAATTGAATATCAGTTTATGTTTTCCTAATTACAGCAACAGGCAATTACTTGTAATGTTAAATCTCCTGCAAACTAACTCATCTTCGGCAAGTTTAGAATGTTTTTATGTGTTTAGAACTGTGTTATTTATTGTCTCTTTTAAGTCAGCTTGCAGTTGGAATCAGCACTCACAGTAATTAATTGTGATAAGATGTGTTATTAAAGCTTATAAATCAGATCTTTCTTAGGCCTGATTTATTTAAAATCGCTACAGTGTTGCCAGTGCAATCATTTTACTGCGTAGCTGTCCCCGACTCAATTGGGAATGCTTCCCGATTTGACTGACCAATTGGCGTCACCGGAAGCTGTCGGCGACAGCGTGTAGCGATTGTATGGAAACGAAGCTAAACATGGCTTCTCCCAATTTGGAACCCTATGAAAATATCTAATGATAATAATTGAAAAGCTCAACTCCAGTAAAGTTGATGAATCTCTGGATTTACATACCCAATTTAAGTGGAGCTTTAGGTGAGTGGTTGAGAATAAAATGCCTGCTTTCCAATCCCAGGGTTCAGGGTTCAAGCTATGTCACTATCACTATATCACAGGGATTATCTCAGGACCATAAAACAGCTCCCCTCCCTAAGCCTCATAAAAGAAACATAGTGTATAAAGCACCATTATTCCATCCTGTAAGTGACTGGTGTACTTACTGTTGAATGTGAAATTAATACAAAGATACATAAATAAATAATGTACTTTCAGAATCTGAAAATATTGGATGTTTTGCCACAACTCCAAAAACCCAGTCAATACTATCCAAAGCAATAGTGTTGTCACCAAGCAGTCAGCCAAGCCCAGCAGCCTTACAGACACCAGCTAGACAGCAGAAACAAAAAGCAGGCCAGAGCTCCAAACAGCCCAAGGAGAGAATGAAACACAACATACCACATCGCTTTGTCATAGGCCTAAACACTCGGGCCACAAAATGTGCAGTGTGTCTGGATACGGTCTTCTTTGGTAGACAAGCATCAAAATGTGAGGGTAGGTACATTATATTGTGTTTCATTAAATTGGCTGATGATCAGTCTTACAGATTTGTGCAGTAAAAAATATGTAAATCAGCAAAAACAAGAATTGGAAATTTGTAGTGATTTCAATAACTTTTGATAGTTCATCTACCAATATTTTGTGGACTTTCCTTGGGCAACATGTGACAAAATGACCAGGAACCACGAGTCTGTGTTCATGAGTTTCCTGATCCATTTCTTAGTATCAGTGAAGATGATGTAGCTGATGCTATGGCAGAAATAGTTTGTTGAAGATAATAACAAACATATAGTTTATATGGTAATCATCTAAAAATAAGAAACCGTCTGTATTGGTTTTCTAAAAAAGAAGGAAGAGCCTATTTTATTTTATATTTAATGTTACCCACTGTATTTTGAAAATAACAAAATTAAAGAGGTAGTGGATGGGGGAGGTATGAATTAAAAAGGATGAGGGGCTGACGTGTGTTTAATAAATTTAAATCAATGTGTTTTTACTCATACTGTAGTTATTTATTTTTATGAATTGCTGATGCAAAGAGCTGGGGGTGCGTGGGGGTGTACTATTTTCATGTACCTACATTAGTAATAGTAACCCACTACTTTAAAATTAAAGTAGTAAATATTAACCCACATCAAAGTATAGTAACCTAGAGTTATTGTTAGAAATTTTACAGTTTGCCTTGTTATCTCAAACATTATAATTTCTTATCCATTTCTAGAGTGCCAGCTTGTTTGTCATTCACGATGTGTGCCCTCGCTTCCACATACCTGTGGACTCCCTACTCAATATCTCAAGCACTTTGGGGATGCTATGAGTACAAAGTCTGCTACACCAATGATAAATGCTTCAAAATCTGATGGATCGGTGCACCTACAGGCATGGATGAAAATACCAAGGTAAGCCAAGATGGAACATGTGACAATAGTTGCAAAACATAATATTTAATGTGTAATTTGAGTTGGTTGTTCTTTGTTTGATTTTGAAATGTTGAATGAGGTATTAATCAATTTATCTCTGATTCCTTCTGTAGAGCTGGAAAACAAGGTTGGGACAAGAGGTGGGTTTGTTTGCAAGAAAACAAGCTTCGCATTTACAGCAAAGAAACTTCTGCAAGTAAGATGCAAGATTCTCAAATGATTTTACATTTCCATCCACATCCGAAATTATAACTGAAATGGAGGGAAAAAAAGGAAAATTATAATCATATTTAGGTCTGAGGGTGACATTTCCAGCCATCTAGATGTGCCATAATAAAAAATTGTTCATACCCCAGCTCCAAGCATGGTTGGGCTGAGGTGGTATACACTCCCCATGTGTGAAAGTCTCTCCGGGCCCCCTCTATTTTTCGAATTCCTGGATCCGCCACTGACATTTATACAAGCCTGGTTCTCACCGTTAGCACCTGTGTGAGAATGCCCGATCAGTTAGCGCTAACTGTTAGCAGTATCAGGATATGCTAACGGCAAGTTGTGGGCATTTCTATCATCAACCAATCACACGTACGCGTTTACAATTTCCAGTTTCTTATTGGCCAGTGATTTCGATCATCTTATTGTTGGTATCCAGATCGGGATTTTCTCGCATGGATGCACGGCAGCTAACGGTTAGCAGAATCCGGATCCTGTTAGCTGCCGTGTGAGAACATAGCCAGTGTTTAAAACCTTTTACCGCCTCGGGATATGCTGATACCCATTTATACTCTAAAGAATAACAAACATAAATAAAGTGTCTTACTGAGCTAGTAATTGTAGTAAATTTAGTGGACAAAAACATATGGACTACTGCTAGAATCAAAATTGTGTTTATTATCCTCAGTTTCAGAGAAAGCTATGCAGGAGCACGACCTCTGCCCTACAGATGGGGAAGTAACCGTTTTACCAGGCGTCTCTGCCTCAGACCTCCCAAACACTGCTGCCACAGACTTGCCGTACGTCATGCGCATTGACTGGCGCCCTCACACATCCTGCTGGCCTGGCAAGAGTATTTATCTGATGACCATGGGCTTTGAGGACAAACAACAGTGGATGGCTGTGCTGGAGAAGTTGGTGGACCAGCGAAAGAACAGCAAACAAGAGAGGGAGTATGCTAAGCTGATCGGTAACACCATGCTTAGTTTGGAAGGGGAGAACTCTGTGGATTTCAACAGTACACTGTTGCTTCAGAACAAAGTATGCATATTATTTTTACTATTATTATAATTAGTATTTCTTTTCATTGATATTACTGTTATTATTATTACTATTAAAATATTATTTCTTATTGTTTTTACTGTTAATAATATCACAATTAAATTACTATAATTTGTATTATTATTATTATTATTAGTATAAACTATAATTAGTATTATCAAATTTCATTACAACTAGTAATATTGATATCTTAAATAAGGTCACCATTCATGTTCCTTTTAGTTTTTACTTCTTGGGTCTGAAGATGGTTTGTTCAGTTTGTCTCTATCCAACCAAACTGAATCGCTGTCACAGATAGTAGGAGTGAATAGTATCTACCAGATGGAACAGATTCAAGAACTAGGGATTGCATTGTTCATCTGTGGTAAGTATGTACTTAAGTGATAATAGAGAGAATTTGCTTGCACGACGACGGTGAGACGTAGAAAGTAATGACGTCACATAAAATCATCTGCGCATTCGCGTTGACTCTAGGATGCAATTCAGCCAAATCTATGTTGTGCAGAGAACGTAGGATGGTCACGCATGAGTGAATCCGTTTCAGCGTCGCATGGTTGTGCAAATCGAAAACTCCCTAGTAAGTGTCTGTCCACACTATCAAATTTTCTTTGATAAAACAGTTACATGCCTCATGATGTGCCTATATAGGTCATGATGTGATGTCATCATGACCATATTTAGTCATGTCACATGTTTTTGTCAAATACAGTTTGATAGGCTGGATAGTGCTTAAGCAAAATCATTTGTATGGCCAAAGCCAAATGGCCCATAATTTTGGAAAATTTGGGTCATTTAAAAAAAAATTTTTACCAAGGATGCTAAAATACTTATGACGTTTGCAATGCCACTTTAAAAAATATATTAGATATTTTAACTATAGACTTTAATCATTGATCGAGTTCCTAGTCCACATATTAAGCGCCCTGAGCATCTTACATTAGAAGGATATGTGCGCTATATAAAGCTACACTATTATCATTATTATTATGTGTTTACCATTTGTTTTTACAGTGCAGTATACTTGGGTTAAGATTATGTTAGTTTTAACAGTTGAGTCCCATAAACAATGTCAGTACATAATAGTCAACAGTGGCCTATCTAGAAGTCTTGAAATGTGATGGGGGTGGGGGGTTGGGGGTTGATGATTATTTAGTGTAAGTAGGGTGCTCAATGATTGAACTAGGGGATGCTAGCTCGAAAAATAAGGTGATATGAGTTGATTTTAACTACTTGAGCCTGATTTTTTTCTTTGAAATTTTTTAATGGTGCTAGACACGTGAGAGACACAAGTTTTTTTAGGGGTCGGGTGTGGCGTGCATGCACATTTCATGGATACACCACTGGCATGACTCAAGATTTAATAGACGGTATTGCATAATTTAGGCAACCAAATAAAATTGTCATTTTATTTCATTTCAGGCAAAGAGCGGAACTTATGCATAGCTGAACTAGCGAATCTAATGAGGGCAGCAGAGGAAGCAAGTGTATCAGAGACCACAGTGCCTTTGAAGCAGATCAGTGGCATTATCTCCTGCCATATATTCTCCCTTGGGATGCTGGCCAATGGTGTTTATATCTGTGCAGCCACCCCGCAGAAGATCATCATACTGAAATACAATAAGGGAACTTCAAAGTTTTGTATCAGGAAGGTTAGTCACAAACATTCAATTGGAGGCAGTAATGGCGCTAATTGAAGATCAGGGTTAGATTGCCATGATTCCAGTCAGACCAGAATGTACCTCAATTAATTTGCTGATCCAGCCTTGCATATTATCGTCTAAAATTTACCATTCTCAAACATAAAAACTTTCTCGACCAGAGGTTTTACCTCTTGACCCTGACTGGAAGCCTTTGTGTTTGGATTCCCTGTCGGGCTGGAGCAATCTGTAATGATAAGAGGCACCTTACTGCTATGGTGCATGCTTCCATTAATCATACTATACTTATAATTATATTAGGCCCAAGGGGTGCAGGCTTGCAAAGTAACTCAAATCTAGAGTCACCAACCGCTTCCTAAACTCAATACATTGTCTGTTTTTAAAGTATTGCCAGGTTTTCTATAGTAAAAATTAAGACAAATCCACGAGAACTTTTTTGAACGTCGCCCTCTTTTTCGACACCATTACTGGGGTGGCATTTCCGAAGTAGGAAGATGTCTAAATACATGAAATATACATAACTTTGATAAATTTTTAGTTTGAAGACTGACGGCATTATTCAGCTGCAAAATAAAAAGCCGAATTTCTCAATGGTACTGTGTTTATAACAACATTGCATTGACATTTTAGGAGTAGGCCTAGGTGTAGATGGTGTCGACAACAGAGGGCGCCATTCTTCTTGGATCCGTCTATAATCATCTGTTCAAGAGTATAAAATCAGTACACATTACATAATCATCCTCGTTGTTCTTTAGCCTTTTAAATGCGAAGGACCTTACCTTCTGTATAGTGAAGCATTTTGTATCTATCCTTTAAGTATCGCACTTATAAGACTACCAATATCACTGCTGATTTTTTTTATCTAATTCTAAATGATTACAGGAAATTAAAACTGCCGAGCCTTGTAGTTGTGTTATGTTCACCAAACGAAGTATTCTCGTTGGAACCGACAGATTTTATCAGATTGAGTTGAATGAATACAGAGTTGATGGTATGTCAAATTATTACACTTTTCATTTAAAACATTGCTTAATGAATATTCATGAATTTATAATAATTCTTATCCAATTAGAGGATAGTGTAACGTTGCCTTGAATATTTGGTTCATGGTACAGCCTATTGTAAGCAAATTGATGTCTAAAACAATCAATAATTTACCAAAAATAATAATTTTCTCATTTCAAAAAAGGCCCTCCATTTATTTACTCATGGATAGTCTTGAAAACTAACCAATCAATGCTCATCATCAAAAAATATACAAGATTTTCATTAGCATAATGTTGGGTTTCAGAATTTTTGGATTCAACAGACACATCGCTTGCTTATGCTATATATGGGGCCAGTCATGACAGCAGTTTTCCCATCGCAGCGGTGAAAGTTTCGCCAGAGGATAGTAAGGTTGAAGAGTTCCTTCTCTGTTTCCATGGTAAGATCTTTGTTTCAATGGTAATTTAAAACAATACATATACACCTGAAATAAGTCAGGCCTACTTTATCCCCACCATTGGAAAACAAGTTTTATGTTATCGTAATTTTAAACGGTATCTAGTTTTTTGTTTTTTTACAGTAATTATGTTGTGTAAAAAAAATCCTTTTTAGCTCTAGAGTTGTTACATATTCAAACTTTATTTTAAAATTGCATTACTAACATAATTGCGTTACTGGAATACGTTGTACCTAATAGTAATAAAAAAAACATGGGATTAACCAACACATTTTCTCTGTTGCGATTTTGTTAAGCTTAATTCGATCTTCATACTTTTTTTAAAAGAGTTGTCTGTTATTTAAATCAACCTGTAGATTTGTTAGGAGAATTAAATATGGTTAGGCTGATTTATCATTTTTGCTTTTTGTTTTCATCCACAGAATTTGGCATGTATGTCAATGATAAAGGGCGTAGGTCACGACCTGATGATATGAAATGGTCTCGTCTCCCCTTGTCATTCACGTATAATGAGCCGTACTTATTTGTCACACATTTCAATTCTGTAGAGGTGGTAGAGATTAAGTCACATGATCAAACATCCAGGTGAGCAATTCAATTTTATTAATAACAATCTTAGGCCCATATATGGTCATGATGTGATGTCATGATGGCCATATATAGGCATGTCACATGTTTTGTCATGTAGAATTTGATAGTCTGGATAGGGCTTTAGTAAGATTAATAACAACAATAAAAATTATTTTGCTCCAGTCAATTTGAATTAAAAATAATCAATACTTAGAGATTACAAGTATCACTTTGATTTCAGTCCTGGTGAGCCCACCTTCCTCATGCTGCCAACACCTCGCTACGTTGGACCTGCCATGTCAAAGGGCGCTATCTATTTGGCGACCACTAAAGATCAGAGGATTGAACTTGTGTGTCTACAAGGCAACTTACAGAATGCCAGGGAAAGACGTGAACAGGACAGCAAGTTTGTAACTCCTGTTTCAAAAACAAAGAGAAAGTCATTGGCTACAAAAGGGTAAGTGTGGTTTTCTCCTACCCCACTCCCACTTACATGCTCCCCCAACAAAAAAAAAAAATAATCTATCATCTATCATTGTCATGGGTGGTTTTGCAGTGGTGACTGTATATATTTGCCTACAGGGGTCCAATATGGGGATGGGGGCCCAAACTTGAGGCTGCCTCGGGCCTTTGATCTGCTTTTGTATATGGGGTTTAAGTGAAGACATTTAATTTAGGATAGAAAAATATTTTATAATGTTTTTAATTTAATTTTTACCACAATATTAGGAACTGCAATCTCAATAAATTTAGTTGATTGGCAAATTAATTTTAGTCTGACAGCGGACAACAAGGGTCTGTGTACTCAGAGAAGGAAACGTGCTCACTTTGCCATTGTACTCATCTCCTACTCTTGGTTGTATTTTGTAATAAATGAATAATAAATATATAAGTAATACAGTAATAATGATAATGTTATATTGCACATTTCCCCTATGTGCCTTTTACACATAGATAATAATAATAATTAATAAGTGCATGAATAAATGTTGAATGAATGTGCATTAGTATTAAATTTATTGAATCTTTATTTTACTTTCAGATCAATGAAGAGAATCTTATCTGAGGACACCATTAACCAACCACCCTCAAAGCAAAACAGGACATCAGGTTCCAGCCTTGCTAGCCTACTAGGCCTGCGAAGATCACCAAGATTTTCCCCAACCACTTCCCTTGCATCAGATATGAGTGACCCTTGAGAATTGATTTAATCTATGATGACATTTGACATGATACGAAATATGGATAACTTTTAAATTAGCATGATAATGATAAAAGATATTGATAAGGTAAAAAAAAAATCAATGTGGGCTTATTTCTTACTACTGATCATACAATAATTGTTAACCTTTTCAAAGTTTCAATCAAACCTAACTGACGAATCAGAACAGGGCAGGAATATGCACTAGTCCCGCAAATGCACATGTTTGCGTTGTCATTTCGTGGGACCTTAGCAGCAATATCCAAGGACAGAGCATGGCAGAGCTCAAAATTCCATTCAGGTATAGGTCTTAGGTGCTGTCCACACTATAAAATTCCTTGTGACTTGGCCAAATATGGGCATGATGATGTCATAAAAATTTATGGTATGGACAGGGCTTCAAATAGTGCATGTCACTTTACCTCATTTGCCAAGTCATTCAAGGAGGGTAGGGAGGAATTAATTACAGTACTTAGTAACCATAATACAAAATTACTAATATATATATAAAAAAAAACATTAATAGCATGTTTAAAATAAACAAAACACATAATTAACTAGATTTTTTCTTATTGGACACTACCAAGAAAGGGAGGCCAAGAAAAAGGCCACAGTTATGTACAGTATATACAATATAGCAATTGTAGTTTGCAACTTTACATTTTTAATATTTCTGTACTATACTAATTATAGAATACTACTTTTTTAATGTAATGACAAATAAAAAATGTGAAAGTTGTTCAAGCTTAGCAAATTGTGATACCATAGTAATATTTTTTACAAAGCCAATGGAAATACTTTGTCAGGTTATTGAGGAAAATCCTATTACTGTATACTTTATGTACAGTTAGTGGATTAAAAACATTTATTTTCTTCTTCAGATTTGATATAATAAATCAAACCTAATTGTAATTTTTTTTTTCTGAATGATTTTGCTACTTTTCACTTTAAAAATCAATTTTCCATGAACTTACAACAAGGGTGGATCCAGAGATGTCCGAAATTGGGGCCAATCAAGACAAAACCACCCTAGATAGCTTTAGCTTTCCAAAAGTTGGCTGCGGGCGTGGCCAACCTGGCTTTCCTCTCCCCCTAAATCGGCCCCTGTATAAGATACTGTTTACTTACTGTGAAATTATGAAAATGATTCTATTTCTTTGAAGGATTTATTGAGTAGAAGCATATTGTTTTTCAATAGATACTTTATTATTGTTTATCCACTCTTCCAAATGACCTACAAGAGGACTTGTAGGAACAATTTTTCAGGTGTGGCTTGGCCCATACAACAGCTGAATTAAATTCTGTTTTCTTGTGTATGAATCTATACAAAAATAGTACATTAAAGTTAACACACAGATTGATGTTAATCCAGTTTACTGGGATTTTTTTTAGAGTTTGATTAAATGTAAGTTTGTACTGTATTAATAAGTCTGCAAAAAAACTATTATTGCAATGTACAATTAGATATAGCACCATTTGTTTTGGCAAAAGAATTATATAGTAAGATGTGCTGAGGTTTTTCATAACCTTAGTAGCAATGTATTAAAGAACTATCACTAGAGTGATTTTGAATAAATTTACACTAAAATGAAACAATGATTTAGATTTTTTTTATTAATGTATTTACCCATTCAATAATAACCTGTTTCAGCAATACAACAGTTTTTACCAAACAAGTGTTATTAACTTTGAATTACAGTAAATGTATATCAAATAACATTAAAATTTCATTTTGTCATAATAACTCCTGGTGTGTAAGTCTTGTGGTATGCCAGTTCAATTAAATATATTTAAGAAAATATATCTGAAGTGATATTTTGGCAAAAAAATTGGGTTTCAGTTTTTCTGATAAGTTTAATATTTATGTTTCATAGCAGCAAAAGTTCTGAGTTGACAATACCTAAAGTAATCATGTGTTTGAAGCACATTTTGTAAAGCTATTTTTCAGAACTGATATGAAAACCAATACAAAATCTATCAGTCTTTGGAGGCTATTCCTCTTAAGAATTTTTAGACATCTGAACTGAAATGATCTTACTCTGGTTTTACACAACTTAGGAATATGATTCAAAGACCAAAATAAAGCTTATACAGTCCTCCATCTAAATACTGTATATCAGTAACTCATTTTTTTTTACCACAAGACTCCTTTTGTCACAAGCTAACATATGGCCAGCACAACCTTAAATGGATCCGGTTTTTGAAGACTCTTCTGATTGCCTAATCAATTAGTTTCATAACACAATAGAACAAGTTATATGTCACAATTTGACTGGAGATAACATTGTGCTAGCAGTTACAACGTCAGAGAACCAGCATGTTGAGCAATTACAGGTTTTTGCAGTTTATGAAAGGTGTTGAAAAAAAAACTGGGAAGTACATCAAATCTATTATTTCTGGAAACCCCATTTAATACTCTACTTGGCATTTTTTCTGAAAACCTACTTAACTGATGCAATAAATTAAATATTTATAACTTCGCTAATTCTTGTCAATTCTCATCAAACACTTTGACACGACAAGAATCATAAAATATTTAGTTGAAATGCTTTGACACACTCGCTCACTGTGCTATGACGCATCCTATGCCTGGGCACACCCTGCATCGATTGCTGGCACGTTTCCATGAAAAACAATACAAGAACTGTATAAAACAATACGAGAACTGTATAAAAACCATTGTATTTTCATGATGTGGCCCCTCTTTCCTTGTTCAATTATTTGCTAGACAATTTGTATAAATTTGTAGACTGGTTCTATCTTAATAATGATTTTTGTTGGGCTGCTATAAGTCCTTCATTTTGCTGTATTTGGTATTCTTGGAATCTCTGTGATATCCTCTGTGTCATCTTCAGGTATTTATCCATACATCTATTAGAGCACGATTTCTATAATTAAAAAATTCAAAACATTGTTTTTAGTAAAAAATAACAGTATGTAAAACATCAATAATACTGGGCTGTAATAAACAAAAATGATAAGGATATAATATATGTAAACATTGTATTTTTTTTATTGTAAATACTTCAAAACTTGTAAATTTAGATTAAAATAGTGTTTAATTGTGTATAACTATGATTGTAATATTATTATTATTAATTTATTATTAGTGCAATTCAGATTAAAATGGTAATGTAAAATGTTCTGTTTTTAAATTAAAAAATTCTGTTTACAAAACAGTATACATGCTGTTTTTGTTAATTCACATTATATTTAGTCTTTTGCTACTGCTATATGTTTTTTTTAAATACATATACAGTTTATACATGACACTTATACTTTACCTCAGAATCTAACACTTTTCGGCTTGTAAAATCTTTTACACAATCTAGAAAACATCGCTCAGTTAATTGATTATATGATGATAAAAAATCTTTAAACTGTAAAAGAAAGAATGAAAACATGTAATCGTATAGTTAATAAAAGCAATATTCCACAATAAAAATAATAAATTTACAGGCAAAATTGTGAACTCCACAGTTCATCAACAATGCAAGCCAAGAATGATCAGTTTGTGGTCTAAAACTACACAAAACCACTTTTACTATTGCCATAACGTTTGAAATACTGTAGTTAATTGTTAAATTTTACCTGTTTAATTTCCATCTGCTGTTGCTGTTGTAGTGACGATGCCATGTTTGATCACTTGATTGGCATCAATTACAAAATATAAACTTAGACTACAGCTCTGTAAAGTTCTTTAATTAATTGACACTGCTGTTCTGGGACTGCTACCTAAAAAGCAAAATGTTTTGATAAACTGTTAACCACACAAAAATCAGCAATATTTTGAATTGAGTAATCAGTTATAGATATTAAAATTTAAGTATAAATGTAAGAATCTTAAATTTTTATTTATTAATGGTCTTAGATTATAAAAAACGATACATAAATGCCTATGTATATTTATATATATATTTCATTCGTGTTTCATG